ATGAAGTCTGTAGCTGAACCAGTTGGGCAGCCAACCGACCTGTACTGATCCATATGATCTATTCCTATTATCCTCCTTTGTGAGTCTTTAACTTTTAAGGAGAAATGGAGCAATCTCCTTGACAAGAATCAATACGTTACTATTGTTGCCCTGTTCTAAGTTTCCCATTCAACAGAAAGGCAAGTCTATCAATAATGCAGCCGCTTCTTCAACAAGCACTAAGTAGTTCATGATAGGCTTAATTTCACTTAATTTGATGTTTGTGATGGATCTGACGTAGAATTCGTAGAACCGTCTTATGAGTACAATAAGACATGTATAAGTTGGTATACATAGGCTTGCTCTCTGTATATGAGTTATTGAGGCAATATTTATGCTCCGGTTTTATTGGGGAAAGCAAGTATTTGCGTTTTCCCCAAGAGATCATGGATAACAGTTATAGTCAGTGAGCCTTGAAATTAAAAAGAAGAAACGGCAATGCTTTCTTGTTGTGGAAACAAGCTCAGGTTCTATTTTTGAAAATTATTATTATTATTTCCCTATCTCTCTTTCTATCTCCCCCTCTATCATTCTACCCCCCCCCCCTCCAGCTCTCTTTCTTTGTCTGCACATGAATCTGTCCATCTCTATTCTTTCGCTCTTTAACCATCTCTTCACTCCTCCCCTTTCTCACTCACTCTTACCTGCTGCACATACCCTGTCTCCTGGGCTCTCTATTTTATTTATTTCTGGTATTTCCTCAACCATACTACAGATGTTGGTTGATTATTAACAATGTTTGACGATTCCTGCATCATCCTGCATCAACCTGCATCAACATCGAGTCTAACATTGACACTCCTATCTTGCGGTGTCCATTTCCATTTATAGGACCCCAACATTAGGCGTACTCACACATGCGAAAAGGGAGATTCGAATCGTGATTCATATCTCGCCCGTTTTTGCAGATGTTCACTTGAGGGAAAAAAGCCCACCAATCTGCGAGCAATGCACTTTTTGTTTGTCTATGGCACATGCCCGAGAAGAGATTGGAAAATTAAGTCTTTTTGTTGCTAATAAATAAGTAATTTTGATGCGCTTTAAACTATATTAAGTAATATTTTATGTCCACATAGTGACAAGGAGGAAGACTTAAGTTGCCAATAAAATAATGACTTAAATCTCACAAATAGCTCTTTTCTTTTATTCCACACATTCCCTGTTATACATGTAATGATGGAGTGCTTGTGGTTTGTAAACACGAATGTCGGTCTATTCTGGTGTGAAATGTAAATTTTTTTTTTCCTTGGATATTTTAATTCAAAAATTCATTGGAATCCTTCCATTCAAACTTTGAAAGAGTATCAAAATATCTGGCTCATGATTATTGGATTGATAGATTAATTTGTATGACTGCTGTAGAAGCTATATGCAACTATGTTTTTGTTTCAATGTATTTTTGGCCACCAGAAATTAATTTATTACCAGCTAATGAAAGTGATACTTCAGATAATTGTTTAATTAATTATTTTGTACATGTAGCTACTCTCACTGGCATATTTAGAATGAATGAACGCCCCCCCCCCCCCGGGATAATCAAAACAATTATTGGAAAACATGTATGGCCCCCCTCTTACAAGTATTATCCTGAGTCTGCACCTAGCCACACTTATGCTTCCTTTAGAAATAGAATCATCATTCAATAGGCCTATCTTTACTAGCTCAAGATTGCCAAATATCCCGGGATTGTCATCACAAGATATCTTGGGACAGTTTTTTTTTGCAAAATATCCAGCTATTTGTCCAGTGCGTCTTTACTAGACCGAAGACTCACACTATGCGCAAATGCTGAGCAAAATATCTCGAGCTAATTTCTCAAGGTCAAGTTTCAAGTTTCGAGGTCGAATCTCGAGCTGATGAAGACGTGATTTGTAACTTAAGGATTATTTCCCAAGTCAGAAATAGCGGGCTTTTTGGAAATCTCGAGATGATGAAGACACACCTATTGTCTTTGTTCATCTGTGATGGAATAAGCTGTCTGATTTTGACATAACAGATCGGTAATTGTAGGGCCAAAGGCATCGGTAGATGAAGACAGAGGAAGTTATGATAGGCCTCCCCTGGAGATAGGAAATACAGACATACTCTTGCAGATGTTTCACAAGAAGCAGGTGAAATAGACCATCTTATGATCTGCTGAAGTAAATAGTACATGTTGTAGACCTACATGGTAGTACATGCTCACCAACATGTACATCGTTGGGGAAATACATGTGAGCAGCGAGGCTATGGAAAGCTCTAGTAGACCTATGGACATTTTTAGGGGGACTAGTGGGATATAAAGCATTCACATTTCTAGGCAAAATCAGCATTTTTCAATAGCACTTTTTCTTAAAGGAGCTCCTGTGAATAAAATATCTTATTCTACACTGATCTATCAGGAAATGAATGCATTACATTTTATTTCTTCATTTCAGTTATACATTTTTTATTCTCTTTTTCTCCAAACCCCAATTTCAAAATTTCAGTTTCTGATTAAAATATTGCTTAATATTTTGACTTCTTTTAGAAGCTACTTTTTAATCATGCACATGAACAAAACTATGGTGCAATAAGTTTACATGTAGTTGATTTGTTTTATATGGTACATTCCTCTTCATTACAGGATAAATGAGATGATTTCCAGCAAGGTAAAATGACAAAATGACATACTATAAATGGAATTGAAATCATTATGCCAAATTTAACAAATAACACACCATATTTGTATACTTAATCATGTGCGTAAATGTGCACATAAAGTTTGTTTATACGGTGTACAATGTACATATTAACTGCGCAAGTGCTTTGACTAAAAGATTTTCTGTTCAATACCAACTGTAGTAGTCAACAAATAAATCCCCTATTTCTGATTTTAGTTTCTGTTAACTTACATTGGAACAGAATATATATTACCGCAATGAATTCTGCAAGGAGACATTTATAGCCCAGTGTGAAAATTTAGGCCTTGCTTTTTTATTGTACTGTACACTGTAGCTCTAATGTAAAGCAGAATTCCAGGGATTTTTTTTTCTGGAGCTCAGTTTTACAGCCTTCCAGAGCTTTTATTTCCCTTTACATTTTAAGAGCCAATGTCCCCCCACTTTTGATATCAGTTGAAATATATGTTTTTTAATTCTATTCCATTCAATTAATCTATTTGGTATTACTGGTATGAGAATATATATATATATATATATATATATATATATATATATATATATATATATATATATATTAACATACATAAAGTATATAGTACACTGCCTTTGTTTATCATGGAAACCTTGATATGAATTATGACTTGCATGATAGCTTCAGTAACTTTTCTATTATCAATATCCAGCATGCAATTCTTTCATTTTTTAATTTCCTTGAGACATATGTATATTTGCATTGCATTCAAAGAACACAGACATGGTGCGCTCACCCAATATCAACAAATGAAATGAGCATACATGTACAGCCAAGTCTGCTTTCAACTTTGATGAGGTGACTCATACTGTACTTGGTTTGCCTGCACACATGTAGACGACTGACTGTGCATCGTGCACTGACGCATGCATGTAGAGATCCTTGCTTGTATGCATGGATATATAGCGGGACAGGTTGTTGTGTCTTTCCTCCCGTTTAGCGCTAATTTCCAGGTAATGAGCGACGGCCGTTATGCAGACGTGGTTCGTTAACAGTCGAGGAGCTTAGCAGGGACGTCATAGCCAGGAAAACTCTTTAAGGATGCTCTAGCCGTGTTGTTGTTATTGAATAAGACTCGTGATGAGGAAGGATATTTTTTGGTTTTGACTCCTTATGGAAGTTTACATGCCATTCTGTTATCAAGGTGAAAATAAGAAAAACAAGCCATCTTGTTTTGGAGTTTTGCTGTGTTTTAAGTCTATCTGTCTTGTTTTCAAGGAACGATCATCAAAACAAGCCTCATTGTTGTCCGTCTGTACAAAATGCTGATTTTGGAGCAAAAGTGCGATCTCATGTGTGTTTGCTGATTAATGCAACCCTTTCTTTGTTTTTTATCATCGGAAATACACAGGATTTTAGATAATGACTTGATAGTGACATACTGTAGCTTATATAAGGATAATGCTGTCATACTGTAGGTATAGGAAATGTAGACAAAGAGAGTAGAATTACTGTAATGTACAACATTGTTTGTGCATTGGTACTGTTCTTGCCTATAGAAGAAGAAATTTATTGAGGGTTCATTGTACGGATCACATTCATGCACAGAATTATAATATGGAAGACACCAGTCCCTGCTCTTTTGTGACGCGAGGTCACTTTTTTTGATGAATAGATACCAAGATCAATATATGGAAGGGGGTTGACATGGATCATGTAGAGCGGAGAAATGAAAAGAGGTTCCCATAAGAGCATAGTTCCATTCATTGACAATAACCTCTCAACATTTGGCTTGTGTTTAAGTTTCAAGTCATCTTGTAATGTATACTAATTACTATCCTATGCCCATGTGAAATATTCACATTATGAAATTTATATTGAGGGATACATTTAAATTGAAGTAATTGGCAAAGTGTACTGGTATGAAAATAAAATCTGGACAGCTGCAGTACCTGGCGTTTGACTGGCATGGGCTTTCACATGCTGTACAAACATTCTAGCCTTCACTGGGCCATCTGGAAATGATAGGATGTCACCATTTATGAATTTCCATATAATAATTGATGGTAATATTCATGATCAGAAATGAAAAACACCATGAAAGCCGTAATTCTATTTATGTAGGGAAATTGGACAAAAATGTTTTTGGAAAAACGTGTAAAAAAAACACCAAATCTTTAGGTAGTACCATTGCAGTTGTTTAGTCACTGTGAGACAAATCATTCTTCACCTCTGATGGTTAAGTACTTATAGACACAATCTAAATAAATACTTTTTGTTGAATGTCAAAGAATGCTCATGTTCTTAAAGCTTTGCCTCTTTCTCTCCCCTATTTTTCTTGCCATCAGCTGAGACCACCACTGTTTGAATCGCAGTACTTGTAGACCAGCTGAACACACCATGATGTCTTCTGTGCGTCACATCCTTCTGCAGCATTGGCCCTAGAGTGGAAACACATTAGACAGATCCTACCGATAGTTTGAACCTCATCAAGATTGCATTGGACCTCAGGAAAAGGGAATAGTACAGGACGGATCAGATCGTGTTCTTCAACTCTTGGAAATAGACATTACCTAGATCAATTGCTTGAGTAGATCCTGCACTAAGACGATCACATCATCGTAAAGGCCGGAGTTTGGAAAACTAAGGGCTCATTCCCTGTATGTAGCAGACTAAAGACTAAAGCAAAATGAAGCGATTAAAGAGGCGATTGTCGCAATCCTTCCGTAGCAACTCTGTCATTGAGGACTCTCTTTCTGAGTTGACAGAGAGCATGAGTATTGAGGAGAATGGCACACACTGTACCAATGGCACCACCAATGGAACCACCAATGGAACCACAAACGGTACTACAAATGGTACAAAAGAAGGTATGAAAATACAGAGATTGTTAGTCAGAATTAAGAATTGATCTGGGCAGCGTTTCATGTAACCGTCATAAGTACAAGTTTGCCAAGAACCCATTGAAATGCTATTAACAAGCATTTGAATGGGATGTCGTTGAACTTGTGACCTTCTGATGAAATGATGCCCTGATCAATTTTTAATTCTTACTAAGAGCTGTAGAAGGGGTAGCCTAGCATAGATGGGTATTAGGATTGTTATCCACAGGCTTTTTGTCAACAAAGCAACAAAGAAAAGTACAACTACATAAATGGTGTCATAGTTTTCCTTTATGAACAGGAGAATTTCAACAGCAGATCTACAGTAGTTGGGAGTTAAATCAATCTTAAGATGTAGGAAAGTCATTACCTAGCAGCAGTTAAATAAATTATTTTGAATCTGTGTTCTGCAGATTTATATGTTAAGCCTCGGTCACAAATGCCATTACGAACGCCATACGAACAATTTTCAGACAATGGAAATTCGGGAAGACAATGGAAAAACGGGGAGATTTGTACGAAATTATCGTTTGTACGAACCTTTGTGACCGTAGCATAAGGAACTTCATGTTCTTCAGGATGAAGCCATTTTAAGATGGATGTGTTTTTGCCCAGCACTGCAAACTTACACATCAAGTAAAACTTCATGTTTTGGGCTGACATTTTGAGCACACATTTACAATGGATTGAATGATTCGTTGGGATTTGTTGAATGGAAGTTACACATATCAAGTGGGGAATCTTTCAGTCTAAAATCAAATTGGAAAGAAAGCTCACATCCAATTGTATAAAGAATACGGTACCCATTTAGTTCACAACCACAGAGGATTTGTTGTGAGATTCTTATTACTGAGACCTCATGACGTCCTCTTGTCCTCTAACCAATACATGCCTCTCATGCCTGGTATGACGTACAGCTAAAGGGTGACAAAGATGTGTGCCTCAAAAAGGGTGTACAAGCTAGGCTTCCCTAGTCAAAGTTTTATGTTCATGGTGGTTATTCATTAATCGGTGCCCATGTTCTGTTATGGAAAATATACGGGGGGGGGGGGGGGGATAACGGGGATGGGTATGGTGTTTGAAAGCACTATTTATACATGCATACATGTACAACTGAAAGGGTGTGATTTAAAAAAACAAAGAAGTGTATGTAGGGTAGAATGTTGCCATTTTTCCTTTCATTTCCTATCTTTCTTTTGTTAAATCATGGTTACTGGAAATTCATTAATAATAATAATAATAATAATAATAATAATAATAATAATAATAATAATAGTCTAATAGTCAAAAAAAAAAATTGATAAATGAAAATTAAGATTTGTGTCCAATGAAAATTTAGATAACATTTGAATTTATATTTGATCGCTGAATTTACATATATTGGTATGTAAGTTATTACTTAAAGAAAAAAATAAATCAAATTAAATAGATGAATTTTCTTACTTAAGTGATACAGAGCTGCCAACTAGTACGGATTTTCCGTAATTGGTACGGAAATCAACGGCAATTACGGAAGCACGGAAACCCCTTCAAAAATTACGGATTCCCCGATTTCTGGACATGCCTATGTATTAACACATGCATTATGCATATGCGAGTGTTTTAGCGGTAATGATCGCGATACTTCCCGGGCCTCGGCCCGGTGGTTAACTTTTGAGCGCACGGAAATATCATCCGCGCCTCAGCCACGACCACTGCACACACATGTAGCTACCATCGAAAGATATGCACACCGCCCTGCCTATATGGGCTGCGTGTGCTAGCTTTCAGCATGCAATATATATCGGGGAGACGGCAAACTCGTCCCAAGTCCATTTAGCCACCTTGCAAACCAACCCGTACGGTACCATGTCCATGTGTAGTTTATAGCAGGTCTACAATTTTTTTCCCCTTAGTGATGGGTTCTCATTGTTATGATAATAAAAGTACGACTCGACTAATGATGAAGATGATGATGATGATGATGATGATGATGATGATAATTGTCATAAGGAAAATGAATGTACTTCCTTGATTAAACTTGAATTTATATTCAACAATTATTGTCATTGTGTTTTATTTCACATTATTTGTTGGATCATGTTTATTCATTTCATTTTATTCATATACCCCTTTTCATTGTTGATAACAAAATATGATACACGAATAAATTTTGAATGAGCTGACACACAAAGTTTTGACCGATACGAAAGCGCATGCATGGTGGATGTGCTGAAACAAGTGGCACGATATTTATCTGGGCGAAATATGCATTGGCCGAGTGTTACACTACCGCATGTGCAGCAGGTCGGCCGTGGTCGCGTCAAACTTCGAGTAACCGACGGAGAAAAATGACTTCAACTTCATCGAAGAAGCGTTCTAAAAAACTGCAAACCTTCTCAGGTGAAATGGTCATGCATTGTTCCGTCGAAAAGGAATACAAACAGTGCCTGTTGTACACATTGCTCATCCGATTTTGGAATTGGTCATGGCGGTTCGAACGATATCCAGGTACATCTGAAGTCGGTGAAGCACCGGACTGCAGCGGCGGAGGCAAGTTCCAATTCCCGCAGTCATGACATCGCCCAGTTTTTCGTCGCAAAGGACAATTCTGTCACGAACGCCGAAGTGAAGTTTACTCAATTTTTGATAGAGCACAACATCGCGTTTTCAGCAGCAGACCACCTTTCACAACTTGTCAAAAATGCCTTCCCTGACAGTAAAATTGCAATTGTAAAAACCTGAAGTGAATATACACACGTAAGTGAAACAGGGTAATGATACATCAATCCTCTAATAACCATTGTTTTTTTTATAGCACTTAAAATGATGTTATAAACAGAATGTTCTTGTTTTTACTTCAAGTCCTGTCATTCAGAGTGATGCTATTACCATGGTACTAGTAGTTTGTGTTGTGGTGTTGTGTGCAGCTCTACAATGTACGTGCAAATGCAGTCTTCTTGATGTTGAAAGCGCCGCGCTTGAAATTACTGATTTCCATCCAAAATTACTGATTTTTAGCTTTCAGATTACTGATTTTGGTTTCAGAGGTTGGCAGCTCTGGTGATAGGATCGAAAATGTAAAATGACCAAAAGAAGACATACTGTACATGTAACCAAAAGGAGACATATCTAAACTTATAAATCTCCAAACTCTTTATGCAACATTTGGAAATACATTTGTAGATTTATGAAATATCTAGCAACTGATCAATCAAAAAATGCAGGGCTCCAAGTAATATTAATTATTCTCTTCTTCTTTCATGTTAGCATCTTATCAAACATGAATGTATGATTGATCACTGAGCACGCTCAGAATCCACACCAATTATTCGAACATAGATAAGTAGAGCAAGAGTCGAGATATGAAGTCTTTTGTTTAACTCCTAAATGCCATCTGTTTTGACAAGGTAAAAATCTCCTGTGATCAATTATCTCCTAATGAAGTTGTCAAACAAAGTCTCTTTCACCTGCATCAAGGAGCTTCATATTTCTAGCATCAATTTATTCTCCTTCTGCCTCATCAGATGCTTAAAATAGTAACTCAACATTTTCACCTGCAATTAACACAAAGGAAAAGAAATATGCTATTCATCAGCGTACGTGCTAAATTGGATTTATGTTTGTTCTAGGTGTATCTCAGAAATAGACACGGGTGTGGTGCCCTGATCGTTTTGTCACTTCAGCCTTGGGGTTTTGATGCAGAGTGTGGAGCTCACTGGGCATTGGGCTCTGCTTTTCTTTGGTATCCTGGAGAAGTCTTTGTATTAATTTGGTTGCTCTAATGTAAAAATTTAATAAGAATTAAGAAAGATCATTTTTTTTTCTTATGGGGGGGGGGGGGGTGGGGGGGAGGGAGGGGCGGAGAGCCTTAATCTGCCACTGTACCACATGGTCTCTTTATATTTTGATAGGAGAAAGTGTGATTTCCATTAAAGTGTATTAACTCTGTATTTATAGTATATGAGCCAATGTCCTTCTGTCTCTCAACAGACAATATTATGTAAATTGAAAACATGGATGACCTTTGCGGTTGTTTTCAAAAATAGTAATAGAGGACTAAATTGTTTGTGTCTGTTCATTAGTGGACTCAATCGGGTGTCTTGGGCATTAAGTATTGTCTTGTTGTTTTGTTTTAGACAGATAACGGGATTAGATTGCAATACCAAGCCAGATGGACTAAGAGCATTATACTCAAGCTTAATATAAAGACACTCTCAGATCATTAACGTTAAAGTGCTTTGTTATAAAGCCTGGATGCTTGTTTAGAGAAATAGACGTCTTAGTTCTACATACATGTAATATGTGAAAATGAATGTGATGGCTTTGGTGACAATAATCAGAATTTAGCGCATATGAAATTCAATTTTAAAACTTCTACCCTGATCGAGGAAAATTTAAATATGATTTTTCTTTATATTTTATAGACCTGTCCATTTTAATACTTCATGTACAATGACATACTGTATTTTCTTGTGACCAATTAAATCATAAACAAGAATTCTTTGGAGTTTGAAGGATAGGCCTGCACCTCTGAATTTATTTTAAACAGACATATGGCACCATATAGATGTTGTGAATCATCATCATCACCATTCGCCTGCAATAATCTATGTGTTGATTATTGCAAACATCCGGTTTTATACTGGCATTCTGGAGTTTTGTCAGAATTTGCTAGGCAACTATCCATAAAGATAACAAAAAGAAAATAAATAAAAAAACCCACCTCTGTAGTTTTTGTTTTAAATGTCTGCCGAAACTCCACTGCTTTTTTGTAATGTGAATGCTCATGCAATGACGAGCAGCCCATGCACACAACTCCCCAAATAAACAGAATAAAACACCATCGGCGGTTTCTAATATTGTAAAAGCTGTAAATGGTATTTAAATTGTTGATTTTTATTTTGGTTTTTCTGTAATGTAAATGGGCCTTATTTTGTTGATGATTCTATACAGACCTGACTGTCTGGAAAGATCGATCTATATTTTGCCACAATGTACAGTGTTCCCTTCATACTACGGTACATACAAGTATGTAAATACATGAGCATGTCTTTAATAAAGATGCTTTGCCAATCGATATACATAAGAACGTGACTACCAATAACCCATAGACCCTTGAGATGGATAGTTTGATGAAATGAATGAGAACGAGAGAAGGAGAAAGCAAGGGAGATGGGGATACACGCAGGAGGAGGATGTCCTACTGCTCACATCTATCCTTGCATGTTATGTACAGGGTGTTTCTTAAGGGGATTCTTGTATAGGACCTTCATGTACTTCTCAGTAATTTGAATCATGCATATTGATATCCATGTAAGGCTATTCCATATAGGTTTCTTTTCTATATGTATGCTTGTAGAATTGATTATATTACGACTCAACTCGAACAGACGCCTGGGACACATAGGCTCCCATAATATATGTCAAAACCCTCCCCCCCCCCCCCCCCCCAAAAAAAAAAATAGAATGAAAATAGACATTTACCAATTAGGCTCATGCATAAAGACCCAAAAGGAAATCAATCTTGACCCCCCCCCCCCATGAAAAGTTAGTGTGCTGTTTATATTGAGGAAATCTAGTAATGTACAATTTATGGGGAGGTACCTGCATAAAAACAAACCTCTATATATAAAGAGAAAGCTGCTCCTACTTTCAAATATCAAAATTCTGCAATTTTTTATTTTTTTTTATTACCCACATATGATTCTTATAAAAGTATGTTTAATAGTCTAGAGGCTATACCGTTCACTCATTTCAAGAGTATGAAGAACAAAGCATTTCTTGAGGGGGGGGGGGCAGGGGGGAGGCCAAACCTGTTGAAAAATTCTTGCTGGAAAACAAAATCCAAAACAGAAGAGAATGAGACAAAAAGAATTACAAACGGCTAGCTTGACATTTTTTATTCAAATTTTCATTTGTGGAAGTTTCTTTATTTGTTAGGCTATTTTACCTGATCAGCAGTGATTGCTTTCAGGTCACATATTATAAATCAAAATGAATTGTAAGATTTCAATTTACACAAAATACGTGTTCTGAACAGGCAACAGGTCGATGTGTACACAGTAGATGTATGGTTATCACAATGACGTATGTACATTGCAATGTGTTTCCTAATTGGTAGCGCAATAGTCCAGCTGCCCATAGGTCAAAATTGCAATGGTAATGAGTAAACAATCTCAAACTGTGTGTCAACCTGCATTATGACTGAGGTAGGGCTTTCTCAGTTGGTACTAACACCTTTGATCATTGCAAGTGCAATTCTTTGTACTATTATGAAGAGGGAAAATATATCTTTGTTCTTTGAAGGGATTGGGTATCTTTGCCTTAGATTCTAAGTCTTTCCGCAGTGGGTGGTGTACAACTGTACTGTATGTACAGTACATGTACATGTATAGGGAACTTCACAATGCATAGACTGAAATGGCCTCTTTGCTTTAGCCCCCCCCCCCCCTCCTTCTGTAAAACTATCAGATACATATCACATGGAGAAAGCAATGTAACAATAGATTATAAAATAGTACAGTGGTAATGCAGCAAGCGATGAAAGAATGTGGACAATTCCAACTACGCAAGCTCATGCTGACTTCCATTTTATACGTCACTCTGACTCTAAACAACATGTAACTGAGTAAGGAGAGTAGATTTAAACTTTAAAGTCCGATATAAAACAAGCTTACATGGAAAAGGAAGAATCAGATTTCACTTCGCCTAGATGCGTTGCACTTAGATCAATTTTGTTTCTTTGAAAAATGATTGCACTTGATTACCAATGATTTTATTCTGAGATTTGATTTTGACATGTTTTTATGAATATATGATGAGAATATGCTTTATCTGGTAGGTGAGTAACATGCCTGTAAAAATGTTCACTGTATGTATAGCCAGACATGAACATTTTTGGATAATCAGTATTCTTGGGAATCTCTTTGTCTTATAATAATAATTTGAGTATAAGGCATTAACCGAGTCCCTTGGATGTTTATCTGCTTATTTACCTTGTGAATTCCTGTTTTGGAATTCTAGTGAAAAACGAGTGGATGCCAGTTAAAAATACTTTCCAGAATGTTCTAAAAATGAAATGAGCAAGGTGATAGGTGAAGCCATACATTCTTCACCGACTCTCCCTGCAAAGGTTTGAATGACTTCTTCTTCATTTCTCTCTGGATGAGTTGATTTTTGAGCCACGAAACAAGATGTCTTGCATGCGATCACCTTTCTGCCTACAGGACTTCTCTGATTCTCCGCCCTTTCTACATGATCCTGGTAACTCCTTATTTTCAACCAGTTACGGTGGTTTCTTTGAAGAAATTTAGCTTTTAATGCTAATTTCCCATGTTGTATCATCCCGTGGCACCGCTCTTTGAGATCATGAAGATAACTCAACTGTAGGCGATCATCATGAGTGACATTTGCATAACAATCGAGTCGACGAGATGCTAATCTTGTCTTTCTATCTTCCTTCCTCTCTTATGGAGCGTACAGTTCACGTGAACGATCCATCATAACATGATCAGGAATGATCAAGATAACTGCTTGCATGCATGCATTATTTCATCTTGTTTTTGTACACATGTAATGTATCCAGTTTTATCTCATTATTCCATTCAAAAACAGAGATCGTGACCCAGAATCGACTACGCAGCTCCGATGGAGAGAGCGACCAGACGTCGGGCGCTTCAGACGAGAGTCACACCCCAGTCAGAAGACGTCATAGACCAGGGAGACTACATCGGAGATTCAGTGAGGTAAGTCAAACAATCGCCATCATGATTAGGGAGGTTGGCATTAGTCATTCAAGACTTTGAGGTAGGGTCTTGATGTACATGCAAGGCACCCAAATTGAGCTTTATCTTCTATTCGAGAAGTTGACTAGTTGACGATGAGATCTTGTTTTTCGAAAAGTCATAAATTTCAGTCAACGGAATGAAGTTGTTTTTGCTATGTGGGCTTCAACTCTACATTAGAGTAAAGTACAGTCATTGATGCACCAAGTAAGTCCAGTTGCATAAATCAAACAATATCACTAATACCTTGCCTTGCTTGTCGGTACATGAAGCTGTAATTCTCATGGGCTTGGCATAAGCAAGTTCTAAAGAACTATGAACTTTCGATTCATGAAATAACAGCAATTGTTGTACCAACGACCTGTTGCAAATTGCGAAAATTTAAAGTTGTGTCAGTTATGATTGATTAATTTCATTGAACTAAACCACTTACTAAATTGTTAAAAGTTCCATGCATGCAGACATACTTGTTCAAATATTAAAGGCATAGGCCTACCTGATCTACACTGAAGTCATATGTGATATACTATTCCTGCGTTTTTAAGCCTGATTAAAACACAGATTTCCCACTTATGGCATTCAGTAGTGCCAGCGACTCTAGTAGAAACCCTTGTTCTGTAGTGATGTGGACTACATTGTGCTTTCACATGTACACGTACCCATTATTTTAAATTTTACCCTTGATGGAAACCAAATTTTTTTCCCATTAAACTACGAGTATGATTATATGATAGCAATGAGTTTTTGCAAAGAGCGCATTCTGTTTACTTTACTATTGTTCTATTCAAGGACTGACTAAAAGTCAGATTTCCCTAAATTTGACCTTGAGTAATGCGTGAGACTAGTATAATTGGAAGCTTCTGTTCATGAGAAAGACATTGTGTGAAGTTGGAATGTGTTTTCTATCATGGTTCCACATTGCCAAATTTCTCTGTATACTACTACCACCAAGGTTCTTATTAGTACATAATACCAAGTGTGAGGGCCTTCCGAAAAAAAAGATACCAAGGGCAAATGACAAGGGTAATAAAGATATCAATGAGTATACTTTCCAACCTGCAAAATTACTCAGTCCTGCCAAACCACCGCCATGGATGCTGCTATGCCTTGTGTAAGCCATTTTGGACCAATGGTGAAATATTCCTACCCAGAAGCCTGGCTATGTGTAGTTAAAGATAAACTTTAGTACTGGTAATGCGATTGCATTGTGAAAGAAAAGGTGTGGAAAGGATCAGAAACAGTTGATCATGTAGCATGTAAGTATTGGTGTGCACTGCAAGGTTCTGGAGTCATCAAAATCATGATAAATTTGACCGAGTCTTGGTAAAGTAACAAGCACATACACAGAAAGCTATGTATGGGACAACACGCATGGTGTCGGGGTTGGTACTACCTTGATTCCTTGTCTTTCTATGCTCATTACTCAGCCAGTATACATTTTCTTCCAAAATTGTTTGGCACATGTCATTTATTTGTAATCTTGAACATTCAGTGTAAGTTTCGTTTGATTCTGTGAGAAATAATTTTCTTTTTTTTACCAGTACTCAACCTTCTCTTTAACAACTGAATTATTCATACCCCTTGTAAACTTGATGTTTTTGTTCCTTTTTTTTCTTCTCCGTAACTCAAAATTGAAAGATGGACTGGTTGAGTTAAGGCCTTTGTCGAATACTTTAGATGTAAGCTTTAATATGTCACATTCTCAAAAAACATAAATGGGGACTAGTCAATTTTTCACATAATTAACAAATTTAAAGAGGAAGTAGTGGTATGAATAATTTATTTGTTAACTGTATCTGTTAATGTAGTAATTAAGTTATTTATGCTTCCTTGTGTTCATGTATTTATTAGGATATCTCCAAGAGGCTATCCCTGCCCGTTGATATGCGTCTTCCTGAACAGTTCATTGAAAAATACAGCCTTAGCCCTCCATTTGAAAAGATGAGCAGGAGATCAAGAAGAGCATCACTGGTAAGTTTGTTTTTTTTAGTGCTCACTATCACCCCTGGTAGAAAATCGAATAGTGAATCACAATTCAGAAGTAAACTGAAGAAGGGGAAAAATCTTGTTCATTCTTTGCATTGTAGAGTACGGAGTTGAATCTTGGGCTGGCTTAAAGTAGAGCTGCGATACTTTGAGAGCATTTAGAGCATCTGTAGCAGCACCTAGCTCAGCATTGTGCGACAGAGGCTTACAATTCACCTGTTCACAAGTAATCTATATCAATTAATAAAAACAAGTTTCTTCCTCAAGTACCTAACTATCAAAAGTTTGAGTTACCTCTTATTAGTTATTACATGTCAATAGTCAGAATACAGGTTCCATACACTAGTTGTTGCCATGCCAGACAAAACCTTGGAAAACCTCTGGAAAGCCTCATGCATCATCAATAAAAAGTTAATATGTGGATTGGTCAATTCTGAGAAGTTTTCATTTTGTTGAGTACGGCCAGCTCTCCGTCTGATTGCATGTTGACCAGACAGTACCAAGTAAACAACAAATTGTTTGATAATACCTTGCACAGTGTGGTTTTGGACTTAATGAGCTGAAAGTCTGATATAAATAGATCATAATATGCCATTTGTAAAACAGTTTCATTGTCCTGTTGGCAGTTAAGGAAATGCTACTAAGAGGTGTTCTGTTGAATTCCTTCAGAGTTGTGCAGCTTCCTTCATGGGAATGGTAGCGTGACAAGAGGAATAGTTAGTTGGAATTGTATCGGACTTTTATTATAACTTCTGATCAGAGTGCCAAGTGTGGCGTTCTTACATTGGCTCTGGCAACATTATGCTTAGGGCTTTATTTCAATACCAGTACAGTCAAACCTGTCTAAGTGGCTACCTTCTATAAAGGCCTTCTATCTAGCTTTATTGATCACCTATATTGTTTTCCTCTTTGAAGAAATATGTGTTACAGAACCTGTCTACACTGGCCAGTCTCCCTTGGGTGGCTTGTATAGACAGGTTTGACTGTATAGCATATTGCCTTGGATTGTAATGGGATTTTAGGTTATATGCAGGAAAAGAGCTATGTGTGTTTGATCCACAGTTAAAGTTTGGAATTCATTAGGCGATGGAAATAGATCACTGAGCAGTTTGAGAGAGCCAGAAGGGCGTTAAGTTTGTGTTAAAATATAGAAGTTAACTCCCTTCTGGCTTTCAACAGACAATCTCTTGTATAATCCCAAGTGCACTGAAGGCTACATGTAGTTATCAAGCTTAACAACTAGTGGCAGATTATCATATTGCTTTATTTTAGTATTTTTTGTTTGTAGGGTTTCCTTTATTAATCTTGACTTGTTTGATAACTTGGAATGAAACCCATATATACATGTACATGTTAATTGAAACTGAGATTTTTTTTCAAGAGTTAAAGTAGTCAATTCACCATTCTTTTATGGCTTCAGTAGGTATATATAATAAAACGAGTAGGACAAGTACATGAAATATGTAAGACATAGATTGTAGAAAATGATTTATCTTTCTTAATTTCTTTCTTAGATATTTTAAATGGTGAAGATGCGAGTTAGAAAAAAAGTTAAAAAAGTGAGTGAATGAAGTTACCGTAATTAACGGTGTATAAACCGCCCTCGTGTATAAGACGCACCCCCGACTTTGAATTTTTTTCGGCGGCAAAAAAGTGCTGTTAATACACCGTTAATTACGGTAAAGGAGAATATGCAAGTGGGCCTCTCTCTGTGTGGGCGGGGGTGTATGTGGGTGTATGAATGTATGTGTATTTATTTGAAGTGTAGACGATATTGTCTGCCAAGAGTCATAAGGGTGGTAACCCTGTAGCAGATGATATGAGTAATGAGTATCCTTCTGCCTCTCAGCAAATGATATGACCTACAATGGTATATTGGTATTTATTCTTACATGTGCAACAAGAATTTAAATCGTAAGATATAAATCTTTACTCTATTACAAATCCCTAGTTCAGTTCAGTTCAGTTCAGTTTATTTCACATCCAATAAACGATTTACAACAATCAAATACAATAATATAAGATGCTACAATGTAAAGGCTAATTTTGAGGCCAGAATATATACTTTGCAGTTTGAAAAAAGCCTACCGGTATTTTTCATTTGTGCTATGTAGAATTTGATTATTGTAACCAGGGTTCTACACCCACCTTCTTTCACAAGGGCTTAGGTTTGTAAGTTTGAAGGTGTGTGTAAGCATGGGTGCCCACTTCCCTGTTAAATCTTTAATAGTTTCTGGCTGGCTGATGTCAAGATTTAGGGGCCCTTGTGTGAGAAGCCCTCTGTTGGTGTTAAGCCCTGCTTTAACATAATGAAATATTGATAGAGTTGACCTTTATTGGTAGATTCAGCAATCACAGTAATACATCCGTCACAGCTAGCCTGAATCCATTGTTCTTCATTCTGTGCAGTTTATAAATATTGTAGTGATGCCAGAGTGTGATAGATTAATACATGAAAAGGTTATAAACGAGTCAAGATAATCAGCCTACATGTATGATCTGTAAGCTGATAGTCAAGGATATAAAGAATGGGGACTTATGGACATTGCACTTCCTTATGCTTATACATTCATATCAAAATTTGTGATAAATTTTCAGTGTCTATGCATGCATGCATGATCTTTATAAATTAGGACACTCTGTAATGTTTTCCTGGTAATGCCAAGTTGTGAATCATTTGTTACGTACAAGAGTTATTAAAAGGATAGAAATTTATGTGATGAAAGTAAGTGATAATTTGGTTAAACCTGATTTACAAACTCGCCTTAAAGGTGCTATGTCCCTTTTGCAGCCAACCTCAAATGCTGTAGAACTTTGCAGGAATTATGAATATGTCATGTATGTTCTATCTGTGAAATTTAAACGTTAGCAGTGTCCTCATATTCAAATTATGCAAGGAAACCCGTTTACTTGCTAGACATCACTGTCAGACACTATTGAGTGACTGACTGGCTTTTTTCCTCTTTGGTAATAACATACATGAAAAGAGTTGAAAAGGATATACATGAGCATTTATCTACATCAATAACCCACTTCTTGTGATGGCCAAGATTAAACTGATTGAATCTTTGCGCAGTATAAAACGTATGACCATTCGGTACAATTGTCTGAAAATCGAGACTATTACTTTTGGGCTCTATAGCCCTAAAGTCGATTTGACAACTAATAGTCGTTATTTTCCCACTTGAAGACAATTTCAAGCCCCACCTTTTTAGGGAAGTTCTAAATTAGTATTATCTTTCAAATGCAGTTGGAATTTAACTTTTTCATTTTTTGGCCTGCAAATGGGACATAGTACCTTTAAGTTAGCGTACAAACTCATCTCAAGTTACTAACAAGCCACGTTCCAAAGCCTAAAGTTAATGTCAGATTTGATTTAGCATGCATGTATTTTATCTATTAAAAAAACAAAATATTAAGTCAAATGGTTGTTGATAGTTTGTATCTGTTGGGTCAAAACTACCAGGACTAAAGATTTGTTACCCTCAAAACTCACAAATATAGGAAGGAGGAAATATAATACTCATGTAAGAAACAGAATTCAATGATGAAGCACTGCATTAGCATCAGAAAAAAAGTTTTTCACCAGATCTTTCATGCGTATTTAGAATTTTTTATAGCTTGTTTCATATTTTTTAATGAATTCTTTTCTTTGTGGTGCACTTACAGTCAGAAATAGGTTTCGGCAAGATGGAGACGTACACCAAGTTGGACAAGCTAGGAGAAGGGACGTATGCAACAGTATTCAAAGGGCGGAGTCGTCTGACAGACAACCTAGTGGCTCTCAAGGAGATCCGATTGGAACATGAGGAAGGGGCACCCTGCACTGCAATAAGGGAAGGTAAGGTCGTTAACAATTCTGTTGCTTACTTCGACTATATGCGCAGTCGCTTGTTTGCCGAGCATACACTTTTGTACAAAACAAGAGGTACCAATTGATGGAATCTGTTTGCAAAATTACTGGTTTCCAGCCCCTAGTTTGATGACAACTCTTCTAACACCGGATCAGACTAGTCTTGCATTCATAACCGTTAAGTAATAGGAAGCTTTTTTTGCACTCGAGTCTCTCAACAAAATGGACACCAAACTAACAAACAACCAGATCTTGGCCAATTGGACATGATATTTTGTTTGGTCTATTCTTGGTCTTGTGTCAGGCTCTCCAGTGTTACTGGGCTAAAGACTTTGAACGTGAGGAATATAAACTTGAAGAATGAAGGAGAGAGGAGAAGATACACAGATCTGTAGTCATTGAACATTGTCATCATTACATTGAGACAATCAATATGAGAGAATCTGCATCTTTTATTTGGAATACGCTGGGTGTTGATCCTTTTGTTAAAGGGGTGGGGGCGGGCATGACTCCCAAAGTACTATGTACCAGTTCAGGAAGTGTGCAGATTCACGATCGTTTAAAATATCCCCCTTTATCTTAAAATGTAGCAGTTAATGTATATATTGAGTATATATGAATATTTCAAGCAAAAACACAAACTCTGATTTTAGGTACTTCCATTTACATTTTTGTGTGATCTAAAAATGCACTGTTAATGATGCCTACAAACTTGTTGACATCTGGAATTTTATTCACAAGTTCAGTCGCAAATTTGTATACTTGGAATGGAACTCAAGACTATTTTAGTCCCAGTGTTGAAAGTTAGATGGCAAGAAAATGAAAAACTGACCATGTGGTCTGATCAAGACTGATCTATAATGAGAAGGCAATCACTGATAATCCTGAGTAATTGAATTTGGACTAACCAGATTATCATTCCCATCCCTTGGCCAGACATCAGCCAGTAATTGACTTTACAGGCAAAATAAGTGAAGAAATACAGATAAATGTTGGAAGACACAGTGAAAATATTAGCCTATCCAATGCATAGCCCAAGATACTTGGGCTAGAGTCAGAGTCTAGAAAAGTACATGTATGTCTTGTGAAAAATTCTATTCATATTCAATTGGTAATAAGCTTATGAGTATGAGGGGGGTGTTGGAAACTATCCCCTTCCTCCTTTTTGAGTAGTATAATGGTAGCAATACTTGAGAAGTCTGAAAGACAAAGAATGGCAGGATGTATTAAGAGAAGGTTGTTAAGTGGCCCTGCAATCTTACTACAGAATATACTCTGGTTGTAAGGAGTTAATACAACTATGACATCAGAGGAAAATGAACATTTGTCAAATTACATGGATGTTACAGTCATTTGCTAGGCTGCTGATCTAGACCAAGGGGAAGCAATAAAAGCTGTTGTGTCTCCCAGCATTGATAATAAGCGTTTCCCATTCAAGGTCAATGAACTATCATAGGTCAAAGTCAACTATTAGTTTGAAGTAGGTTTGTTTCTCAATCCTCTTATGTCAGAGGGCATAGATATGAATGGCTGGGCTTATCAAGGCAGTGCTTCAGAATTATCTATGATGATACATCATTTCAATGCAATCATGGCTATCAAAATCATGTGACTTTGTATCACCCGGTCTGAAATGAGGAGTTTATACTGCCTACAGCCATGATGATATCATTGTGTAATTTGTTTTAGAGCCAGAAGGGAGTTAGCTATATGTAGTACAAAAGGATGTGAGTTGATGCCGTTCTGACTCTCATTTTGCCAACTGGAGGACCTCAAAAATGTGTCAAGATTTATAATATGTGGAAGATCTGCATTTATTGATGGCTTTAGTTATTCATCATATGCATGAAATAGTATGTTTCAAATTAAAATTATCAACAGTGCAGTCAAAGAAATTAAACTTAAAAAAAACTCTGGAATTCTACATTTATTTTTTAAGAGTGAAGTTGAAATATAACCACTTTAAAACAAAATTCAACTTTAGTAGAGCAAAGTAGGAAAAAAGAGCTCTCATGAACAAATTCTAATCATACACTACTTTCTACCTAAAACCTTTGCCGGAGCTCATCATTGCCAGTGAGGGGAGTTGACAGTTTGTCGATAGACCCAAACTCATTTTTTTTTAGACGACAAATTACCTTCTCGGTGACTCTGTATATTTGCACATGTTGTGCACGTGACAGTGACGCTCTCCTTACAGTATAATTGCAATTGTGAGCAAACATGTATAGCTGTCTGCTTCCATTTTCATCTGATTGTCATAATGCTTGTGCGCCTTATCACGGTAGTCGTGCTAAAGCTGGGGTAATACTATGATTGCAGGGCCCTCATGCAGAACAGTATTAATACTGATGAGGCTACCCTGGGTAAACAAGACATATTATTATTATTATTTAAATCATCATAGTCAAGTCAGTCAGATACCAGCAAGTCCAATGTGTTATATGTTTTGATAAAAGAATCATTTGCTGATGAAATAAAAAAGAATGAAACTCACTCTCAATTGAACTCTCTATCTCAACACTCAAATTTTTTCTTTTGAATTTCTTATAGTCTGTAAACATTAGGGGCCCTAATAAAAAAAAAAGAATGCCATAAGCCCATAACCCATGTTTCTTAGCCATTCAAATACAATTGGTTCAGGAGCGTATATTTATAACTGTCACATGCTATTGCTACTAGTATTAAATAAGCAGGGCCGTGATGTTTTAGTCAATGTGCATGGGGTTTAACAAATATTGTAATGCAGTCATTACTTACAGTATGTATATTACAAATTTATTTTCTTCATTTTCTTTCATATTCCTGATGATTAATAACATATGAAAAAGGTAATCATGATACTGTTGTAACATCTATTTTTTATTTGTTAAAATCTGTTTTCTCTCTCCTACGTGTATGTTGAAATAGCTGTCTTACTTCTTGATAATGGCATTTTAATCTTAAGGTATATCTTTTTACTTGTCTTGTTATTTTTCTTATAGTATCACTTCTTAAGGGACTGAAGCACCACAACATCGTCACACTACACGACATAGTACACACAGAGAAAGCACTCACACTAGTCTTTGAATATTTGGTAAGTAAATTCTCAGCTGATTCCATACACTCTCTGTCAAATTCAAGGTAACTACATTGTATAGCTGAATTTAGATACCAAAGAAATGAATGTTTAGAGTAAGATGTAAGATGTACTTGTACATTAACTATGAGAGTTTGATTTATGATATCTTAACATACATTCTGAAGGAAGAGGTTGAGTATTAACTGCATTTTGTTTAAAACTGCTTTTTACAACGTTCATAAGTGTCCCTAAAAGATTACAAGATTCACTTATGAAAATTTAGGTTTAACTGTTTTTCAAACATTATTGCATGAAAAAATAGAAAGAAAAAGGGGTGCATTTTCCAGAAAGTCTAATAACCAACAAAAAGAGAACAGAAAAAACCCAGAAACAATACATTAGGTTATTGAGCATTAAAAATGAGGGGGGGGGGGGGGGTAAAGTTCCAAAAAAGTCTGACTAGCAAACAAAAAGTGAACAAAACATAAGAAGGGGGTATGGGTCCAAAAAAGTCATATTCACTTCAACAGAGATCCACCCCTATTAAAACTAGTTAATTATGAGGCACTATTCACATTGTTAATGTAAAATTATTTCAATTTATCTTTTTCCATCTCAACAACAGTCTTCGCCATTGTCTTCCTTTCCTTTATTAGAAGCCATACATGTAGTGAAATTTGATCATTAACTATATTTTGAGATTAATTGCAATATCTCGTGGAGATATAAATCTATTTAAATTTAAAGTGATAAGAAGGAAATGACCTTTTACAATCTTGCTAGGAATCTGTTTCATCATTGCATACATCCCATATGCTCTTGTCGTGTTAATGGCTTAATGGGCGTTCCCATAATTGGCGTCATGACATCTTTTACTTTGGCACAAACATGTTATTTTGACTGAGCTGAAATGATTTTGAAAATAAAATGATGATGCACTTAGCAGAAATAATATTGTTCAAACCCACCCCCGTTTTTTTCATGTACAGTATATTAGCTATGTTAGCATTATATCCTGCAGGAGGAACATGTTATCTCTAAACCTCAGTTTAGAGTTTATTGATGTTCATATTTGTTTAAGTGTTTTCATGACATAGATGAAGTAATTATAAGAAATACAGACTTGTTAGCTGCTTTCGATAAGTCTGCAATCCAGAATTGCAATACCCATGTATACATCCCCTGGGTACAAGCACACACTTGTAACTGATATTTTCTCAGAATGATTTACACAATACCAAGTTGTGCCAATGTCCGGATGTTTGTCACATGACTTTGCTTTTCGATTAAAAGATAAAATAGAGTTCTGTTCATGTGATCAAAATGTGAAAGAAATTGTCTGGAACTCTTGAAGTGGAAGGTTGATCATGTAGTATATGAGAAGTGATGTACATTGTGAAAATTTTGAATCATTAGAAATCAAAATAAATTGACTAAAATCTTGCTGATAATCACTCGTACTGCACATGGAAATGGGTATGTGGGACTACATACATGTATTTTGATATAAGGGTATTGAAGAGCAGTCCTTATTAGTGGACATTTCTGCTATAATTTTCTTTCAAAAATGATGTACAAGAACAAGAAAGCTCATCATTCAATCATCTTAATCAGAACCTGACTTTCTCTTTAACTGTTTCCTGAATCGTGATGTCCATACTATTACATTCATTCTCTTGATTTGTAACACCTTTACCTGAATGTCATGAGAGCCTTCCTTGTTTCCCTCAAAACAAACACTGCCCAGAGATTTGATGTTCCCATGACAACAAATAATGCGCACATGTTCTGACACATTGTTAATGCCAGGCACATACATTCTACATGTTAACATGAAAGTGTGGAACAAACGTAATTTCCACTTGTGAAAGTAGGTACATACATCATGAACAGGTCATGCTTTTTTTTAGAAGCACACAAATTGGACAGGTACCTCGTAATATATAACATCCTTAAACCTGTAAGAAATTTTCTTGACTTAAACAAAGTCACAGATTATAGGAATTATGAGATTTGTATCTGTAATTTTGATTGCTTTGTTTTGTTTTGTTTTATCTTGTAGGAGAAAGACTTGAAACAGTACATGGACGATTGTGGAAGTATAATGAACATGAACAACGTGAAGGTAAGTATTTTGAAGCTAATCTTGAGCTCTGGGGGTGTTTCACAAAGATCCAAAGTCAAACTTATCTCTAAGTTGGATTTAAATATTATGGAGAGCCATTTGTAGCCTTAAAATATAATATATTCAAAAGCAAAAACTTTTCATATATTCCACATCAAGAACATGAAATCTCCTTGATAATAGAAAATGACTGGACATATAACCCTCCCTCTGTTGTTTCCTTGCAATTTCCAAAGCTATTTGAAGAAAATAAATAATTTATGCAGTCTTTGAAATGATCAGGTAGATGCACCAAGTATACTACTTCATCACCAAAGTGACCTTTGTAGTGTCTCCAAAACTTGATGAAATAAACTTCAATTGACTCCTCTTGTAAATGTACAAAAGCTGAGACAGACCTTTAATCTTCTTAGTTTTTAATTGTGTGAACCTACGTCAGACTCAAGAGGCAATATTAATGAGTTTATTAATCCTACAGTTTAAGGATCCAATTTGTCATGCCGCATTTCCATCAATTAATACTTAATGATAGTAGCTTCTAACTTCATCAATTCACTGCACACCAAATGAACTCTCATACTGGTTCATTATAATGTGGGGCCATTTTTTTAAAGAGAAACCTTCTTCTTGTGAGTGTAAAAAGACTTTGTCATAACCAAAATGGAAGACAAATACAATTTCTTTTCAATGATTAGAGATGTGATTTCTTTGCACAGTGCACTTTCTTTTTTACAATGAATATCAATTTGAATTATATGAGAACTGCCATTTTCATTTTCAAAGATTCTGTTAAAGGGATAGTTGAGTTCTGTTGCAGGGGGCGCTGCACAAATTAATTTTTTTGTGAGATAAAGTAATGAAAAACTGAGTGTCAAATTTGAAAGAACATAATATTTATGACAAAATCATCTCTGTTTGATCAAAATCAGTTTAGAGACGGCTGAAGTATAACGATTTCTAATACTTGTGTACCACCACAAATATTAGATATTTTGATTTTTTTTTTTTTAAAACGTGAAAAAACAAAATAACGCCTTTTACGTCGTATTTCAGCCAAAGCTGATGTTTGCTTTTTTGTTGGCATTTTCATGTTGCTTATATTACCAATTAGCCGGCTCATGTATTGTTATTTTTAATTAAATAATTAATTAACGGTCACCATGTTTTTTTGAAAGTGGAGCTGAATTGGTATGATCGTATTGGCTAAATTTCACACATTTTGGGTCTAAAATTACCTTCATAGCAATTTTAGGTTCTGAAAGGGCACTATAAATGTCATAGATAAGAGCAATAACCATGCACCTTGAATTCATTTGCGGTCTGAAAACAGAACTCACCTATCCCTTTAAGTCTGATATCTCTCGGTTGTAATCAGCTAAACATTACAAGAACTTTCAAGATAATGTGATCTAGCATGATGTGAGTGAATACTGAAAAGTGAGATGTAACTTCCATGTATCTCCTGTGATTTTTTTTTCTTTTTCTTTTTGAACTTCAACACTAAGCGTGAGTTTATAATATAATTTCAAGTTCCATTTTTTTCATCTGTAAAATATCATCTGTTTGGAGCCAGCTGAGTGTGAAATCAAATAATGCCCTTCTGGCTCCAAAACAGACAACAACTGTACTGGGCCCGTTGCTCAAAACTTACTATTGATGGTAACTACCATGGAAACCTTGATTTTGATTGGCTGTTGAGCCCTGTTACCATGGTAGTTGCCATTGATGGCAAAGTTACCATTAATGGTAACTTTTATGCAACGGGGCCCATCTGGATCAGATTAGATATTTCACTTTCACTTTCTTACATGTATTCTTATTTAACATTTGTTTGTTTATTTCTCCCTACAGTTATTCTTATTTCAATTACTAAGAGGACTGGCGTACTGTCACAAACGGCAGGTGTTACACAGAGACCTCAAACCTCAAAACCTCTTGATCAATGAGAAAGGGGAACTCAAACTGGCAGACTTTGGTAAGTGGCTTTGTAAGATTGTAAAAGTACAAAGTGCAATGGCAGAGCACACAAGATGGCAGATTAGAATCTCTTGATCAGTAAGGGAATCATTTTTGCGTGCATGAAACTTTCACGAATTTCAAAGTTGGTCTTTATTGGTGAAGTTTCATTTTAGTCAGAAAGAGTTTTTGCAGTTTGTTTAAGTTTTATGCCTTAACAATGGCTGACATTAACAATATTGCAATATTGAAATGTTTCACAGTATGTACTACTTTGGAGCATGTATGGGTAAGAAAGGGGGATTAGGTTTGACTTATAGAGTACAATGGAATTGTTAGAGAGTGTGCACAGAGTATTAATTTATGAAAAGAAAAAAACAAACTTAAATCTCAATTCTTTGTATGAGACCTTTTGTTTTACTGTTGCCATGTCGAACAGAACCCCCCCCCCCCCCAAAAAAAAAGGGAAAAAAAGAAGAGGAGTAAGACGTACAGATGTACAAACCTGTCTCTTATTAGAAACATGAGCGGTGGTATTATGAAGTGGCATGAAGAAGATGCCTTCATTAGGTTGATTGGACCCACAGACAAGGTGATGGGAAGTGAGAAAACAACACTTTCTTGTATAAGACCTGTTAAGCTGCAGCCACTTGGAGGATTGATTGCAATTCTGTTTATGGGCAAGGTTATGATTGAAATATGATAGAGTTTAAATCCCCTCCTTTACACAAATGCTTTCTTGTATGTTACCCTTGATATATATTATTTTATATCAATTTCTTGCTCTTTTTTTGCTCTATTCTATTTGTACTTGTCCTTGTCTCTTTCTTGGTAATTCCTTTCAAAAGGAAATATAAGTCATTTTCATTTCTTTTTCTCACTTTTTTCTTTGATCACTCTGAATTCTAATCTACCTCTTTAATCTTTATATATAATCTCTCTCACATGGTGCTATTTATTTTTAGGTTCCTGTATCCCTATCCATTTCATATATATTTATTTCCCTCTTCTCTCTCCCACTATGGTATCTCCCCTCCCTCAATGTTTGGATATCTTTTTATCCTGTTCTTCACTGCTTCCTCTCTCTGCTCCCCTTTCATTCTCTCTCTCTCTCTCTCTCTCTCTCTCTCTCTCTCTCTCTCTCTCTCTCTCTCTCTCTCTCCTTACTCCCTTCTCCCTCCCCTCCCCGGCTCTCTCTATCCACATCCCTCTCTCTCTTTCTCTCTCTCTCACCCCTTAGTCTTCGCTCTCTCCTCATCCCACTTTTCCCTCCTTCCTTTACCCCTCTCCCACTCCAATGTACCCTATATTCACACTCACATGTAATCTTCTTCTTGTTCTTGGTCCCTTAGGTCTTGCCAGAGCTAAATCAGTACCTAGTAAGACCTTTTCCAATGAAGTAGTAACCCTATGGTATAGACCTCCTGACGTCCTCCTAGGGAGTACCGAGTACTCAACATCCATTGACATGTGGTAAGTAGTCTTCTAACGAATGCGCTGGCAATAGTTGCTTTGGGAATGTCTTAACAAAATAATAATAATATATGAGATTTGCAAGGCGTCAAATCCACTTGAAATTAAATGCTGAAGATGCAAATTTTAAAATCAATGAAATAACATAAATTATCTGCATTATAAACAAAAGGCCTGGAGCAAGAACATATCAAAAATGGTAGAGAACAGTTGCTTATATGCTGAATCAAGCAGATAAGTTATTTTGATTATTTGTTAATACTTCAACTGATCTGATAATAGTGAACCTCACAAGGCAGGACATTCCACAGCGAACGTCCTGCATGAGCAAAGGTTTTCTATACCCACTTAGTATTGAGCTTAAAAAGATCAAGAAATCCAGAGTCATACACAACTGCAACCCGTTAAACAGGGTTGCAGTTGTGTTTATTAGGTTATGTCTAGGGTAAGGTTAAGGGTTAGCTATAACTGTTGGTCCACGGCTGGCTGAAGCTGATAGTCTGGTTAGTGTAGGATATTGACAGCAGAGCAATTGTTGCTGGAGCATGTGTCATTCAAGTGTGAGAAGTGTTTTCCTTTTACATTTCTTGTATACGAAACCTGTATCTCACTCAATCATCTGCGTTGTAAATAAAATGGTTTCAAAGGTAATTAGGAAGCCACTTTCTAAACCTAATATATCACTTTTATTGATTACATTATGAAAGCAAGTTCAGAAGAAAAAGTGCATAGACATTTCTTTCTTTTCATTATCTGTCATCTTCTCCTTTATCTTCTTAAAAAACAATCTTGTCATCATAATTTATACCAGTTACCAAATACTATATTCTTATTTTGTACCAGGGGAGTTGGATGTATATTCTACGAGATGTCGGCAGGCCGACCCCTCTTCCCCGGCTCTACCGTAGAGGATGAACTTCATCTTATCTTCAAGTTCCTTGGCACCCCCGATGATAAGACATGGCCCGGCATCAGCGCTAACGAGGACTTTGTCTCCTATGGCTTCCCTGGCTACCCAAAGGAGCCTGTAGTGACTCATGCACCTCGGCTGGACCTGCAGTGCCAGGACCTTCTAGAAGACCTGCTCAAGGTAAAGGAGCACTGTGGTTTAGTGGTTTGTACACTAGGTGATCAATCAACAGGCTGAAGGTTCAAATCTCAGTCGGGAGCTATGTCTTGTATAGGAACCTTTGGTGATCAATGCACCCAGGTTGGACTTATAGCGCCACGACCTCCTTGAGGCTCTTCTAAAGTTAAAGAAGGGACACTGTTATATAGAATATATTTGTGAATATAGCCAAATTTGTGAGAGTATTTCTACCTGCCTTATACAGATGATTTAGGCATGAAGCAATAAGAAAATACTGCATGTGTTGTATATATTTGTTTCGATTACTAACTGTAGCCTATATTTAGTAAATTAAACTACTTAATTCAACTTCTTCTGTTTTTTTCTTCTTCAATGACACAACTAGTATGAAGGAAAGAACAGGGTGTCAGCTGCCAAGGCAATGAGACATCCTTGCTTCAACTGCTTTGGTTCCAAGATACACACATTGAGGGATGGTAAGTGAAAGATAGATTGACAGAGAGTGAAGGAGGGAGGGTAAAAGGGAAAGAAAGGGGGGTATGGGGAGTGGGAGATAGGGAGAGAGAGATAGAGAGAGGAAGATAAGGAACTATGAGACATCCTTGCTTTAACAGCTTTGGTTCCAAGATACACCCATTGAGGGATGGTAAGTGAAAGATAGATTGACAGAGAGACAGAGAGAAGGAATGAGCAAGAGAGAGAGAGAGAGAGGAAGAGAGAGAGAGAGAGAGAGAGAGAGTGAGAAAGAGAGAGAGAGAGAGAGAGGGGGAGGGAGAGAGAGGGAGAGTTTTATTAGATTGATTTTGTACAAATATCTTAGTGTATTCACCTTTTGTAAGTTAGAACAATTTAGGTGTTATACCAAATGTACTTGTTTTTACTCATGGTTAGATTGATAATTTTTATCCCTTCTCTTTTTAATTACTCTTCTCTTCTTTCTTTCCTTCTCTCTTTCTTCTTTTCCTGTTTCTTCCTTTTGTCTCCAGTTCAATCAATAATGGACTTACCGGAATGCCAGCTGTCCAGAGATCCCGGTATCCGCTCATCCGCAGTGCCTAGCACAGGTATGAAAAAACCTAACCCCCTCATCTTCCTCAATCTAGTCACAGGCACCAATGTTTTGAAGCTACTAGAATTTATAATAGAGACCAAAGTATTCCATTTCTAATTATATCTTTGATACCTAAACCATGGCTCGATGCTAACATGGAAACTTGGGCTCCCAAATCTAAATCCAAAGCCCAAGAATGTCAACATTTATAACATGGGCTCGTGCATACAAACCCCCACATTGTCAGTTAGTATTAATCCCTGCCTGCACCGAGTATCTTAGATGCTTGGTACCAGAAGGGTGTTAATTAAACATTACAAGATATGAGTTACCTCCTTCTAGCTCCAAAGGGATGATACTTTCTTACACAACACTCTCAAACACAGATTCACTTTAGACATTAGGTATACTATTTGTGTAATGATTAACAAAGTTATTAGAAAAGACTGTGAACAAGTAGATCTCATACTTTACATCATCAGTTCTATTATCAAGCACACCCACGATCAAACTTATATTGCTACAATAGTACATTAGCCCGGTAGATTATGATGATAAACCTCTTGCTTCAAGTAGTATTATTCCTTATATTACCTCTACTTCCAATCCAATTATTCTGTGAAGGAAGGCTTCTTGTATTTTTATCCGTTCAGTGAAGTGAACGCCCAAACTCATTAATTCAATATGAAGCATGTTTTATGTCGAGTGCCGCTAAAGGTGAATGCCCCCTTCTGAGCAGAAGCAACAGGTCTTTGACTTAGAGGATGGATGTATGGCTTATATTAACTATATTGAAGCCTCTTAGGAAAGAAAAGACTTGCTTTGATGCGTGAAATCTGGGTGTGGGTGTTTGATGAGGGAAAACTATTCATGTCTAGAGCTTATATCCATGATTGAACTGCATGAAGTCATGCAATTACAATGCTTCCCTTATGAATATTCTTGATGAAGTTCCCCTGTGATACAAGTCTCATTAACAAGGCATTTGTTATCAACCAGAAAGACTTTGATCTCCTTCAAAATTGGACCCTCTATAGTCTATAATATGATTTGAAGACATACAGTGCATTTGTGCATGCTTAAGATATATTTGAAAAGTATATTTTTGTGAATAAATTTTGTTTCATTTGTCAAGAATGTTGGGTTCATTCTGATTGATGTATATAGGAAAGTTTTCATTCTTATTCTGTCCTGGACAGTTGATGATAGAAACGTTTTATCTTGGGTTGTCCATCATTTCACTCAATTTCACTTGCCAGTTATCTCCAAAACTATTTAAGGGATCATTTTTAATTCGATACCAATATGTATCACCATTCTAAAAGTTGGGGACAAGGGGAGATTAAATATGATTTGGTAATCATTATTTCATTAGTAAACTGCCATTGAACTAAATTCATACATGGATTTATTATTTATATTAAACTTGGGTCTCGTACAAGCATTGTACTCGACCTAAACTGGTCTCCAAATGATCCGAGATGTAGTTACCGGTATGTCATTTGGGGGTCACTCCATCAATGGCTATAGCATGTTGAAGGCTTTGGTGACAATGTTGTAAAGTATGAAGAACTGTAAAGAAATGGTTTGAAAGTGTTTGTTTTGTAAAGGAATTTTACATTTTGCTACTGCAGAGTTACATACATAGCATGCGATGCATCATTGGACCTTTGTTCATATACAAGGGACAAATTGTGTGCTGTGATAAAATGTAATGTTTATCAGTGTAGGGTTTCAATCATAGAGGTCTGATGAAGCATACTTTATTGTCATGAAGAAATGCAGTGAAAATATGATCACATGACTGGTTTTCATGTTGACTATTTTTAAAAGCAATCAACAACAAAATATTGTTTTACTATGTAAAACATGTATTTATTTTTTTTTTCCTTCAAGTTTTGATTTTGATGAATTACCAATCCGCAAAACTAAATGATTATACTTATTACAAAGAAACAAAACAAAACAAAAGTAAATATAATAGAAACAGCTATATTAATGAGAGATTTGGAAAATCCCTACACTGGTAAATCACTACATGTTTAGTCACATTACATTTGATTTAAGTTGAGTCCCTCCCCCTTCCTTTAGAACCAGTTTTTGTGTGAAATAAAACTATTCCAATTCCCATGGCGATGATGTAATAACAGAAAAGTGCATGAGTGTGAGCATTCTGTGTAGTTTAGAAAGGATTCCCAGTGTGGCTGTGTTGAGAAGCTAAATGACTTGTGATAAGTCAGTGTACAGCATGAATCCCCTTGTAGCGCTAATCTGATGGTTCATGTGACCTTTTGATACTACACTGGGTGAAGAAAGAAAGAAAGAAAGAAACATAGATCATATATCACTTTGGCATTGAAGCCACCCATAGATTTTCTGACATGTATATTGTACACTCTGAAAGAATTAGTAGTCAACATGTATTATAATTGAAGAAGAATTTCTATTGCAAGAACCTTAACATTGCATACATGTACAGAGTAAATACATGTATGTTTATCATTGGAATCAATCAGGCAGTTTTTTTTTGAAGGATCAGATGTATTTATAGTTCCTTTCTTTTTCAATATCGCAGTGGTATCCTAATTGTATATTCACTTAGACAGAAAGTCAAAAACACTTTTTATTTTTTTGTTGTTTAATACCGGTAGTATTTCCTGTCGCCCATTTTCATGAAAATAATCATATTATAACGTTTTATGTTAAAATAAGAGGCATTCTGATAAATGGTTTAATTATAAGTATTAGCAGCATTAGTAGGTGTGTTAGTAGTTGTATCATAAATAATAGTTGAGTACTAGTTGTAGTAGTAGTAGTAGTACTTAGTAGAAGTAGTAGTAGTCGTAGTAGTAGAAGTAGTAGTTCTAGTAGTAGTAGTTGTTGTTGTATCAGCTTGAAAAGTAGATGTAATACATTTTATTTTGGTAGCAATAGGAAGAGGATGATTTTAGTAGAAAAAACTGTAACTGACATAAAACAAGACATTGTTAAGAACCATTAAGGTAGGAATATCCTTATAATATATTAGATTATTGAAAAATAATGGATTCAACTAAAGAAAAACTTTTTAAAACTTCTCTAACTGTATGTTACAAAATAAGAATCATGGATGTAATGAGTAAACACTTTTGTGTATTGAAGAGCAGATACATAAGATGCTTAGACCATGTCAATGTGTTGCATGAAGCGCTTTCTATTCCATGTGCATGCTTTTGTTTGTGCATATATCATGTAATCTATGGTGTGCCTGCCTGCCTGCCTGTCTGCCTGCCTTGGGCCTGCTTGTATCCATGTGTGTAGTAAAGCATCTTGTTTGTTGCATGCATGTTTCTAGTGACACAGCAATGTAGCTAGCGGGCAGCAATCATTCATAGCCAGCTAGGCCTTTGCTTTGTTACTCAATCTGCATAATTCACAAGGATTGATGTCTTATCAACTATTTCTTGGAAAATAAGAGGTAGTGATATACATGTATACTGTAGATGGCACAAGATGACTTAATACTCGTGATATCATTTTTTCCACCTTATTAAGGAGGAAGGAGGAAGAGAGATATAACTTGAAACTAGATCAATTCCTATAAACATGAAGAAGACAACATGTAAAAGCAAAAGAAATGAGGAAAGGGTTTCTTATTACTTGAGCTCTTTGCCTATCTATTTTTATGCATTTTAGGCTAGAGAAAAATGATGTGTTTGAGTGCCAGAGAGGCATTAAAAGCTTTACAAAGTCAGAGATTTGTTTGGCACCCTTCCAATGGTTTTCCCAGGATATTTCAATAGTCTTCTTAAAATTTAAATATACAAATTTGAGGCATTAGAAACATATACAAGGATGATGGAGAAAATGTTTAAAGATTTGTTTCTGTTTAAAACGCATGGCCAAATGAATGACTGTATTATGTTGCCATGCATATTAGCACCAGTACAATATTTATACTCCAGTTGCAGTAGTGTGCACTGACTTCTAATATTCTTTTCAAAACTTGCCTTTTTTATTCTCTCTTGAATGTTTAAATTGTGAATTTGTGAGTATCTCTCTGTGTTATCTTTATTTTTTCCAATTTTCTGACAGAGGATTCAAGGGGGAGATCGAAACAGAATCTTTTTGTAAATCACAGGTATTACATCACTCATCTTGGAAAAGGATGATTGAAGAAAAAAAAAATAACAAAAGAAACAAAAATGCAAGCCTAGATTTAGAATTTTAACCCCATATTCATAATTCTGGTGAATGCAATGGGTTTGTTCAAGTATTTCTGCCATTGCAACAAACCATTCACTCAACATGCCCATCTCTTTATCACTGCATGCACATCAAATCACTCATTATAACTCTCCTATCACATTTTAATCCAATTTGATTTCAATTTTATTTTTTCCCCATTTTGTTTTCAGCATCATAAAAAGAAACCATTTGATCCAAATTGTGTTGTGTTGCAAGAAAGAGAGAAAGTTCAGCATTTTATTCCTCTTTATTTGAGGAATATGTCATTTCCACCCGCTTTGTCATTCATTCTACATTTTGGTTGTTTTGGTTAAATTTAGTATGGGATTTTATAGTAATTCAAGTACAAGTTATGATTTTTAATTTTCCTTTATGCCTGACATTGTTAGCCTTTTTATTCCTTTTAGTCTTTCTTTAGCCCTAAAAAGAAAAGTATTTTGGAACCCAAAAAGTAGAGACCCTAGTAACATCAATGCAGGAAATTCAATCATTTGTTTAGGTTTGCATATATCCTTGATATGAGTTGACCTTTGTATTTTTATAACCCATGATACAGATATATTTGCATGTTTTTCCATGACCTCCCCTGTATGAACATTAGATACTAGCAAACATATTCTAATCTACACACATTTCAGTTAGCTTCATCCTTCATAGATTAGATATTACATGTACATGTAGAGCACTAGAGCACATTATCAATATTAGACAGTCTAAAGACCAGCTTGTAGATTATTAGACAATTCTAGAAAGCAGTAGTTATTTGCTTTAAACTGTTAAACTGAGCAATTTAGTTCAGTAGAATACGCAATGTAGTTCATGATTATTACAGTACATGACTGTTGACTAAAAACTGTGAAAGAAGTTTTTAATGTAGTGATTGTGCAAAACAATTTGCTGTTTAAAAATCAAAACTCTTTAAAGGATGTTTAATGACTATTACGTTTGTTTCTGAGTCAAAATGTATTGACTCTGAGACAGTTTTCCAGCAAGATTTGAAGAAATCTCTCTTAAGTTGTGTATGTTTGTTAAGATAAGTTTAGCTTTCTTAATTTCAGCTGTAATAAGTACTTGCTAAGATGACTCTATTTGAGTTACATCTCAAAGACATTGAAGTGAAAGCAGTTTATACAGCAAGTGTTTCCTACTTCTTTCATAATAAAGCTACATGTACATTACATGTCGCTGCATTCTTGGTACTACATAAAATGTGCTGTCTCCATTGTTTTCAGATAAATTAGTAAAACTCAAAGTATATGTTAATGGGGGTAAAGCTCTACTTGGACAGCAAGTATTACTTTGTTCCCTGTATAATGTGTTTACTGAATGGATATAATGTAAAGCTATTATCTAATGAGAGCCACCAGAAGGCCATTTACTCTTATTGTTTCATGGGGTTAATGAGCTTTTGGTTCTCAGAATACATCCTGTACATTGCATGACACCGGCCACAGACTAATATCCTAGATAGTAACTACATACATGTACATACATGTATGTATTGTCTGCCAAGAACTATAAAGGCATTGCAGTAGATCAATCACATACAATTATCTTATGTATAAAATCTATTTGGAGGAGAAAAAAAAATCACTGTGCATTCTTAGGATTAATGATCAAGAAGTGTGGAGAAAATAATTTAATCCCGCTGGCCGCTACTATATTAAACCTAAGTTTCACTTTATTTCTGTGTGTCCGTTTTCTAAGTGTACTCGCATTTTGAAGGGTTATTCACAGATGCTAAGTCCGACTTGAGTTTTCTTGGTAGTGGTTTATGTTATCCTTTCTTTAATTTATACTTCTTGGTCATTAATACTCGTTGAGTTTTTAAGGTAATTTTGTATACATATAGCCATAGTCCAATCAGCCATCTTGGATGTGTTACAGATAAGATATACTGCCAGAGATGCCAACCCTCCCGATTTTATCGGGAGGCTCCCGATAATTCACCCCAACTCCCGACCTTACGATCACCATCCTTATCCTCCCGATTTATTTAAAAAAAAAAAAAAAAAAAAAAATGATTTTTTTTTTTTTTTTTTTTTATTATGATTTTTTTTGGAGGGCGCTTATCAGTATATATATCTGTGAATTGAAAGAGAAATATCATCTGCTAACTTAAGCATGTAATAATTCCACTATGTTAAAAGACAAATTAAGAGTAGCGAAAGATTGTTTCAGCATATGGATCGCCGTAACCAATGCGTGGATATTGCCACAGAATCCAAATGGCGGAAAATCAGCAAAATAAGACCAGGAAATGGTCTCGGAAGTATAAGACCGAATACAGTATCAAGTACCTGTGTAATCGGAAGTCTGAAAGTAATTCATCATGCATTTTGTACAATTTTTATGTTATTAAAAAAAAAGGGGGAATTATTTAACTAAATACACATGTAAAATGCTCCAAAATAAGGCTCAGATTGCACCAGAGAGCATCTAGAACCCCAGAGCTTCCAGGGCCCTAAGGCGGGCCCTGGACCCCGGCCGCATGTGTCGGGCGCTACGCGCTCGAGATGTGCGCTACGCGCACATTAATTGGTGTCGATTACAAATCCTCCCTATTTCTGATTTCCAAAAGTTGGCATCTCTGTACTGCCCTCGTAGTTCTCAGCAGAGTATCCATACCTCATCCAGACTGCCATGTACATTACTAATGACCTCATATAATCAACCCAACCAAACCCACAACTAACCATTCAAACTCATTACTAGCCCCCATCCACACTGTAAGATCAAACCCATTACTAGCCCCCATTCACACTGTAATACCAAACCCATTACTAGCCCCCATTCACACTGTAATACCAAACCCATTACTACCCCCATTCACACTGTAAGATCAAACCCATTACTAGCCCCCATTCACATTAAAGGATTGTTCACACATGATACGGTACACTGCCTAAAAGGAACTTATGAAAGCATAATGTGTGTGAAAGAGTGGCAAGTAGAGGTGAAATAAAGGCTCTTTCAGATTGTTTAAAAGACAGCAATTTGAAGTGATCTGGCCCCTTGTATTCTTTGATAAAGTATGTGATTTTTTTGTATTTGCTTTATTTTTTCGTTGAATTTGTTTTTGATTTGGAGGTTTATTTTGTGAGGCAATTTATCAAGTCATTTGTGAACGAAACCTAAACCAATTAAATAGTATACAATATATGTACATAATATAGAATATTGTATGGATTCATGCATGCACTCCATACATCTATATAGTAAGGTCTATATAGTAAGGTCTCATATATGAATGATATTTATAATCAATACTTACTGAAGTCAATGGTATATTTTGATACTGTTTCTTGAAATAACGTTGATATGAAAGGGGGTGGGGGTATATTTTTGTACAGATGTAAATATATCTTGTATTTTTTTTATGTGTACCAGTACTTTAAAATCAGACACTCTTGTGACATGAAAATTCATGAGTTGCGAAAATTCCATCTCTTGATTTACTATTTTCTTAAACAGATAACAGTACAGATATTTCTAAAATCATAGATACTGTTGTATCTTTTAAAATGATATAATATATCAAGTTATCAATTGACATATTCTATCAGCTTCCCAAGTTGTAGTCAAAAGTAGAACAGTGATAGGTGTAATATGCTTGTATGTAGCCTTATATGACAGCTACATTTAAGTTGGTCTTGAAATTAAAATACATTTCTTACTCTAAATTTGACATATTACAATAGAAGGATAACCGTAGAAAATCCTATACTGAAGCTGCTTTTCCCTAGGTTTATATGTTGAAAACGGTAGAGGGAATCTTGATTGAAAGTGGGTAGTTGGGTTGGGTGATGGACAGGTTTATTTATTTTTGTTGGTTGTATCATTCTATTCTTGTCATACTCTAGTATTATGGTGATTTGACATATATATGTTCCGGTCATATTTTCTTCAAGTTTTGTTTAGGGTTAGAGTGGTAGCATAGCAGCAAAGTGATTTGATGTCATGTTTTAGTAGTCTCTTATCTAATCTTCATTTTCGTTCACTTCCTCTCTCTCTCTCTCTCTCTCTACAGGCCCCTCTCGTGGGCGACGCCAGAGCATGCACTTTTAACGTGACAACGGACTTTAAAACCAATGACTGCGATGAAGCTTCCAAGTTTGCCGTGACGGATTTCATCATGTAGGAGTGATACCGGATGAATAGGGGCATTAGGTCCTCCTCCTTTCTTGTAGATCCTACATATGAACCAACAGAAGGGGGAGCCCTCCCTTGAACCTGGTGGCAACCGAACGCTTGATGGAATACAGGACGGCCGACTCAGTGAGAATAGACCTTTTAAATTGTTGTGAAATTCCGTCGTATCTTAAGTGCCACTCTCTCACTTTTTTCATCTCACCTTTCGCTATATTTGTTAACTACCCCGACCAAGAGGAGGTAAGCAATAGACAAAGGATGATGCTGCTATCGCCTCGTTTCTTCTGTACGGATGGGTAGCACCTAGATGTTTTGGAAGTGCTTTGATAGATGAGAGAATGGCAATTGGCTTGCCTTGGTAGTAGTGAGCTTGTAAAGGAGAAAGCATGATAGCTGTAGGAGTACTCTTAACAATGGTTCTGCCTGAGGAAAGATAATCATCCTTCCTAATAGTCATCTGCTGCTCTGAGAGAAAGCTTTCCTCATCCTCATCATCGTCATGGTAAAGTCATCGTCTGTGATGAAGAAAAAGAATTGTAGAAACTATTCAGTACTTACTGCTGTACTGATTCGATACAGATCAACGAGTCATTGGATATCAACTGAACTAATATGATAGACATACAATCGCATGTCTGTTTTTTAGCTAAATCTTTTTCATAAATTATTAATGAAATCATGTGTACATTAATGTAATTTGTTATTGAGATGAAGGATGCAAAGAGAATCAAATTAACAAGTGTGACTTGTTTCTTTCCTAGTAGAAATGTGTAGGTTTGATACTGAAATTGGTCTTGAGAATAGTAGTGAATTAATCCTTCTGTGGTTTCCTTATCTATTTATACCCTTTTTGAAACAGTGGGAAACGCAACATTAAAGTTGTTTATGCTGCTATTACAGACTACATGTGTATTCAATATACATGGCTTTAATGACTTACCGGTACACTATGTTATTTAGGAATAAAGTAATTGTGAAATTCCTGCAGTTCTTAAATGACGTTGTTGTTCAGCATAGAATATGTCCTAATTGAATAAAAAATAGACATCACCAATGGCTGTTCAAATGGTCTTATGTAACTGTGTAACGCAAAGAATTGGTTCATTACAATATACGTAGCCTCTGAAACCAAAACGGTTTAAAAGGAATGAGAGCATGACAAGTCCTTTTATTGGCAACATGTTCAAAATTCAAAATCAACTCTATCAAATCTCTTAAATTTTGAAGACTCCACAAAGTTTTCAACAAAGAAGAAAACAGTGAAGACAAAAAAAAAGAAAAAGAGAAGGAACACGCAAGTATGTAAGCTACCGGTAATAAAGCAGTGCACTATCACTACTGTTGTATAATTTGAAGTACCACATTCTTTTTATGATGCATATTATTAAATACTAAATAAGCTTTGATTTTAAAAAGGATTTAACTTATTTTTGGAGATAGCATCAGCAAAAAGTACACCAAACCAGAGAACAGATGGCCAATTCTAAGGTGTAGTTTTGTATATCAGACCCTTTCAGAATCTTATACAAATCTGCAACTGTACTTCATGTTATAAAGACCTTCAAAGGATCTGAATATGAAGGCTTTTTATGTGTGTCATGACTGAAGTAAGTATAGTTTATACAAACAATAACTTTGAATTGTGGAGTGTGACATATTGTATAAAAATGGGAATTCTTGTGGTTGGGGATTTCTTTTTTCTTTCTTAAATGGTCAGTTTTAAGTATCTACCAATGGTTGACTTTTCCTTAAAAAATTGTAAACCCAAAGCCTGATCCCTTATGCCTGGATTACATTTGCCCTGGGTGCCGTACGATAAATTAGTCTACGATTTTTCGTAGACATCGTAGGAGGCTACGGGCTACGATGTTTGTGTTTACATTATCTACGAGCATCGTGCCATTTATTGTATTGGCCCTCGGGGGCAGGCCGGGGCAAATCCGTACAGAGGCTGCTCGGAGATTGTACGGAAATCATACGGAGCCCGTTCAGCTTCCGTGCAAAGGTTGAGCGGAGAAGGCACGGTGACCGTACAGCAACCTTGCGATAGCTGTGCAATTGCCGTGCGAATGCCCCATGAGTCTACAATCTCTGTACGATTTTCTTTGCCCCCATGTTCACCGAAAAATCATACGTTTGCTGCACAATCAGTGCGAGGCCTCCGGGCGATGCCCATGCGGGGATTGTGCAATGCCACCTACGACATGTATACGGGCTACGGGCTTACGATTTGTTCAGATTTGTTTAACTTCTCGCGAAACAAAATTGTAAAGGCTGCGGAGCCAGTGAATCCGTACGAAAATCTCACGGCCGCCTCCTGCCACCGCACAGAGGCTGCACGGAAAAGGGGATACGAGCAGGATACGGGCTCCGTAGACTAATCGCAGGCCAAATGTAATCCAGGCGTTATATCCTGTTTTGAGTGAGAAGGACATAATTAGCATACATTAGCATGTCCATCTGGCTTTTCACACATTATGTACATCATATATACAGAGGAGAAAGCATCATATGTACACAATGACGGCCTGTATTCTTGAGAGCTGCCTCATGTTAGGCCTGGCCTGGTTTAACTTTAAACCCTGTTTAGGTGCGTAGATTTAGCCCATCGATTTAAAGGATGCCAAATGTAAACCTCTTCATCCTGTACAAACCACCATCAAGTTGTAACAAGATGAAATACAAAAAAAGACTACCATTGTCGCTAGGAAATTACTTGCTCATTTTCATTTCATAATCAAATGATATAATTTGGTTTATTTATTTGTTAAATGATTTGATTGATTTATGTCAAGCTTGACCGCTGATTTATGGAAGTCCAAGTGTTAGCCCTTCCATAAATCAGCGGACAAAGTTAGGCCAGGTGTGCCATAGGGTGCTTCATAGAATTGGATGAAAAGACTTTAAAATGATTGATATACCTCCATGTAAAATCACATCGTGTACTGAAAAGACATACACAAATTGTTCACATGTCAGGGTTGCGTCATCGTATATCGCTTTGTTTTACGTTTCTCACTCTGTTCCCACTGTATTCACTATTTTACTATACTTGTTTTATTGTGCAATTTCAATAGTTATGTCTGTCAAATTGAAAACATATTAGAATCAACTTTGTAGTGAGCACCAACGAAGAATATGTGCAAGAGATTGTTGAGAAGGTATTTGAGGAGGAGAACAATTCTGAACTATTGTGTATCGATGGGGTTGAATAAAAGTCTTGTGCTGTGTTAATACATTTTGGTGGTTTGGTAAATTTCAAAGACCAAGATTGTACATGTAATCAGTTTTAAGGGTTCTATAGGGCCATTATAACTGTAGAGCACTAATAACTGAAAACCTAGTACAGTGTGAACAGGTCCTTCACCTCCTTTGGGATAATTGCCCTAAAAGAACCTTTCAGGAGACATTTTTATGCCTAGATGCATTGATATATTTGGTATGAAATATGCTCTGGATTTAACTTCATAATGAGGATATTTGTTTTTGATTCAGGATTGAAAATGTAGACCTTAGTCCAAACACAACGGCCTGACTTCAAAAAAGAGGATTAATTATAAACCATGGGTTAAATTTCTACAGAGGAATATAAAAAAGGATAATAAGAGTATAATCCTCAATATATTATGCCATTGGACATGTGCATACTATGCTTACCGGTATGTATATTGAAACCATGGATTAAGATCAATCTTAACCTCCGATCTTAGGTGGGATTCCCCAGCCACAGCAGGTGAGAGGTTCAAATTTTGGGAAGCATGTTGCATTGCCCGTAATTTACTCATTCCATAAATTACTCATCATTAATAAAAGATAAAGGTGCCTCATCAGTGATAATGCGAGTGCTTCATTGAAATAGAAAGCTTGATGGGGGAGGGGGAAGGGGGAGGGGGATAAGCTCATCAGCTGCTCCAATCGGGCCAACAACCTTTTTTCTTCATGACACTGACTTTTGTGGTCTAATGATGAAGTTGAATCTTTTAAAATCTTGTTTGATTGGAGTGAAACTGTTTGGATAGGCTCTAGGTCTACCGTACACATTAAAAAAATAAATCTAAACTTTGTTGTTTTAAGAACAATTCTCACTGCCTGTATTCAGGTGTTTCAGTCTTTTAATGTCACATTTCAATTACATTTGAGTTACCTTTGCAGTTGGTAGCTGTATTCTTTAAACGTTATATTTCTAATTTCTTCATTTTATTAAAAGACTACTATATTGGTTCCCATTCTCTTATCTAATGTTATTAAACCTTGTCCTTGAGTAGATATAATGTAGTCCTGAATGCAGTTTGTAATGGAGATCCAAGCGACCTCATTATCAGCTATAATAATCTTATTTGACATCATTCAATAATGAGCACTTTAGACCTGAGCACTTTAGACCTGAGCCCTTAACACAGATGGTTCCATGGTGCAAGTATGTGAATTGAACTTTGTAGTCAGGCACAATGGGATTGCAATATACTGTCCTGCTTGCTTGCTCACATTGTTGACCTACTTTCTATGTGATTTTATACACTTGTAGAGTGACCCAATTGGTACTATTCTGTCATTTTACTGTTTAACAGGCCATTTGCTGGTTTATTAAACATTTAAAGATATCATATTAGGCAGACTGGCTGTCTTCTTGGGATGCAAAATTGTGATTTCAGGTTGCTGTAAATGTCCCATTAAAATTGTATTAATGTGATGCTTTTTTTTCCTTCTAAATGGACAATGTCCTTCATGAACCCAAGTCACTTTGCTTCTATTTATTCATTATCATATTGAATGTCCAATAATTGTTTTGTATGACTCTGCAACAAATCTTCTTCTGAGATCCAGAAGGGTGTTAACACATTGAAACACAGAGTTAATGCCCTTCTAGCTCTTAACAGACAGAATGTCCAGAGGATGCCCCCTTTGACTGACCAATGACCAGGCCTGATTCTGGAAAGGAACTCTATTGTACATTGCTTGGAAAATTTCACTGTATACTTCTTGATGTAGATAGAAAATTAACTTATACTTAATATGTTATCATGAAAAGAATTTGCATTTTCAATTGATTAAAAATGATCAGAATGATACATTGTAACAAAGCTGCATTTATGAGTTCTTTTCGATTGGTTGCTCTCAATGTAATAAGATGATTTGGGTATAGATGTGAACTGATTGATGAGTAGACGTTGGAAATGGAATAAGATGATTTGGGTATAGTTGTGAACTGATTAATGAGTAGACGTTGGAAATGGAATAAGATGATTTGGGTATAGATGTGAACTGATTGATGAGTAGACGTTGGAAATGGAATAAGATGATTTGGGTATAGTTGTGAACTGATTGATGAGTAGACGTTGGAAATGGAATAAGATGATTTGGGTATAGATGTGAACTGATTGATGAGTAGACGTTGGAAATGGAATAAGATGATTTGGGTATAGTTGTGAACTGATTGATAAGTAGACATTGGAAATGGAATAAGATGATTTGGGTATAGATGTGAACTGATTGATGAGTAGGCGTTGGAAATGGAATAAGATGATTTGGGTATGGTTGTGAACTGATTGATGAGTAGACGATGGAAATGGAATAAGATGATTTGGGTATAGTTGTGAACTGATTGATGAGTAGACGATGGAAAGGGAATAAGATGATTTGGGTATGGTTGTGAACTGATCGACGATCGAGTACCGGTAGGTGTTGGAAATGGAATAAGATGATTTGGGTATAGATGTAAACTGATTGATGAGTAGGCGTTGGAAATGGAATTAGATGATTTGGGTATAGTTGTGAACTGATGGATGAGTAGGCGTTGGAAATGGAATAAGATGATTTGGGTATGGTTGTGAACTGATTGATGAGTAGACGTTGGAAATTGAATAAGATGATTTGGGTATATATGTGAACTGATTGATGAATAGGCATTGGAAATGGAATAAGATGATTTGGGTGTAGTTGTGAACTGATTGATGAGTAGACGTTGGAGTTGTGAACTGTTTGATGAGTAGACGTTGAAGTGATTTTGTCCTATAAATCTATTTTACATCACATGTTTCGATAGGATTATCATAGAAAAAAGGAGAGTGGTTTACAATAACAATCATGAAATTCTCTTTCTAATGATACCAAATACGGCCTATAAAGAGACATAAAGAGAGAGAGAGAAAAAAACAATATAACTCTGGTCATAATACAGATCCTGTACGTTTTCCGCTCATGCATTACACGCATTGTCTATGGGGCATATCGGGTTCACTCTTTTGGCCCCCAAGAACGATCTTTATTGCAATGACGAACATGCACCAAATTCAAATCCCATTGGTTTTTGCACGCAGCCCTTTCTAGGTTATTTCCCCTATCCCAATTTCTTTCAAACTTTGTAGGCATAGTCACTACCATCCCATCAAGGTCACTGTTGAGGCCTTTCTTTCGCTCTACCTATCTCCAATATCACAGAAGCTACAGACTTCGTACAAATTGCTCTGGATAGTCCGAGAGAAGCTCTTTCGTTTGACACGTCGAAACATGGCGTCATTGCACGCACATCGTTGTGACACGATTGCATTTCTAGTATTCAAATTAGGAGTGTTGCATAACTACAGCTCATAACATTACACATGTGCTGAATACTCAATCGACATGGCTTCCATCTCATCACAACGAATAAAAGTGATTGTCATCGGAGCTGGAATTATCGGGCTTTCATCAGCGGTTGTTCTCGCGGAGAACGTGCCGGATGCCGACGTTCATGTGATCGCTGACCAGTTTGCCTCAGACACGACATCGTCGGGAGCAGCGGGTCTGTGGGCTCCTGATTTTGCCCACGGCCTCAAGAAAGATCAAGACAAGGAACTAAAGCTGAGGTAGGCTTATTACTTTAGTATACTACTAGTATATAGTAGGTGGTGGTGGGGGGGGGGGGGGGGGGGGGGGGGTAATTGCCCACGGCGGTTATTTTCCGGGGCCAAGGGGGGGGGGGGCAATCGTCTTTGGGGGTAGTTTTTCTGGGGATAATATTCCGGGGGAGGGGGGGGGGGGGTAAATTGTCCTGATAGTGTTTTTTGGACAAGCATAGCTCGCATACAGGCTATCTGCGCACTCAAATGTCTAATTAAGAATAGGCCTAATATATATTTTCTACGGCTCTCGATCTCGATGGTCTTGGAGTTGGAAGGCATGCACATTCCATGGCATGAAGTAGGAAACGAAATTAAAAACAACGTTCATGTACTAGTCTACGTTATCATTTATAATTAACGCTATTATTTGTTTCCTCAAAACGTTGTTTGAGGTATTGCTATATCCATCTATATGTCTCCCTATTTATCACATCGCGCTCTTTATATTGGCCTATTGGGGCAATATCGAGTTCATATAATTATAAATAGGCATGGCTACTGAACAAAAGAAGATGATAAGAATTGTCTGCAATGTGCCATCTAAATTTAAATTACACAATCTGTTTCAAACATTGAAACTCTTTATGTTATATGGCATACTAACTGTACTTTTTTTTATTGTATTTAATCATCTCTCCGAAAAGTTTTGTAATTTGTTTGATTTTAATGTTAATACAATTGTATACATAACTATTCCACCAGGTCTGTATTAGAAACATTTATATTCCCAGACATAGAATGGCACATTAAGTTGGTAACCTATACTGTAGACGTGCATGACCTACATATTCTATTGCATATCCCCTTTAAATGTGGTAAAGGTCCAAACTCCAAAGTATGGTATCCTGCAAAATGTTGACATATTGCTCCTATTGTCTCGTTTTCGCTCGCGTGAACATTGCCAGCACAAACCACTGACCTCTACCTCCTACACGGATCATCGCCCATTCCCATTCACTATACGTTACGTACTAAAAGGCTGTATTGTCTGACCGCGTTCATGAATATTCATGTTTTTGCTAAACTCGGGAAAATGTTTGCTTTTACTAAATGGAAAAATTACGGTGGGGGGTTGGATGAAATGGACATAATGAAATAGGCAGAAGTGATCTATGATACTTCATGCTTTTTATGTTTCGTGTGCTCGACCAGGGAGGTGGAAAACCTCCCTGGCTCGACCTATAATCTTCAAATCGCTTGGTAAACTGAGTCCAAAGTTAGACCAGGGAGGTGGGAAACTCCCTGGTTAGACTTGTTTCACATGTGTATTATAGGCAATGACAAGCTTGCAACCTATTTTGAAAAATTACGGTGGGTGAACTTTCAAAAGTCAATGAGACATGAGGGCTCCAATGAAAGAGCTAGTGATAATGAACGTCGGGGTGGATGTGCTTTTCGTTTAAACAAAAAATGAATTTTTAACGATTTTTAAAAAAAACGTCCATAGGCTAACATGTTAGGCTGCTGGCTCTGATCATGCTCTGACGATAGGGGGCGTTGTGAAATGAGACTAAACGGAGCCATATGTTCTCAGGGGTCTATTCGCTATTCATATGGACCGCCAGGGGCGGCGCCATAGAGGGGGCAGGGGGTGCAGCCGCACCCCGTATCATTTTGACAAAAGGGAAGAGGAAGGGAAGGAGAAAGAGGAAAAGAAGGAGAAGAAAAGAAAAGGAAGGGGACGAAAAGGAGGAACGCCAGGAGAAAGAGAACTATAAAATGTAAATTATGACGTAAGGGAGAGCGGGGGGAGATGGGAAAAAATAAAGATAGAGAAACTTAAGAAAAAGAGAGAAAAAGCAAGCCAAATCAGGCGATCAGATTTTATTAATAGACGCGTCGTTATTACATTCACATTAACAGAAGTTCAAACATTGGTTTACGATAAAAAACCTTTCACCAACTGTTTTTTTTTAAATTGATCCCTTGTATCTCCTAAACCTTATGGCTGATTGTTCAATGGAAACGACAAATTCACCTATAACAACCCTTCTGAAAAATATGGTGACACCCCCCTCCCTGCGTTCTTGTTCTTGTTAGTTGAACTTAAGACTGTTTCCTTTTTAATTTGACAAAAAGTATGCACCAAATCGAGCCATTTGTGCATCAATTAAATTTTTTTAAAATCTTCAACTTCTGAGGTGGCACATTCCCCTAAGACACCCCCTTGCGTTCTTGCTCATGTTAGTTGAACTAAACACTGTTTTCTTTTTAATTTCGCAAAAAGTATGCACCAAATCGAGCCATTTTTGCATCAATTAAAAAATATTAGTCGTATTATGAATAGCAACCCTTGTTTCGTATTATGAATAGCAAACCTCTTCCCCTATAATGAATAGCGACCCCCTACTCCTATAATGAATAGCAAACCTCTTCCCTTATTATGAATAGCAAACCTCTTCCCCTATTATGAATAGCAAACCTCTTCCCCTATAATGAATAGCAAACCTCTTCCCCTATTATGAATAGCAAACCTCTTCCCCTATAATGAATAGCAAACCTCTTCCCCTATTATGAATAGCAAACCTCTTCCCCTATTATGAATAGCAAACCTCTTCCCCTATAATGAATAGCGACCCTCTTCTCATATTATGAATACCAACCCTCTTCTTTGATTATAAATAGCGGTCCTTATGAATAATGACCCTTTTCTCAAATTATGAATAGCGGTCCTTATGAACAGCGGTCCTTATGAATAGCGACATTGACCCGTTTCTCAAGCCCTGTACACATATGAAAATCCAATTCTCTATTTGAAAGACAAAGGAAAGCTAACAAATAGTATCAAAAGAGGAAGAAATTAGGGACTTTTAGATTTGCACGTCGACATAGTGGACTTCTATGTGTGACGTCCTTTTAAGGCACTTTACTACAGTGCCTTAAAAGGACTTCACACGTAGCAGTCCACTATGTCGACGTGCAAATCTAAAAGTCCCTGCTAACAAAACTGCAACTGCAACGGCAGCAGGAATCTTCTAAAGTAGGTCACATATGGAGACGAAACAATGTATTTAGCTGTATCTCACTTTGCACCCATCCTTTACATGGAGCTCTATAGTGCACCCCCAAATCAAATAATCATTAAAAAAATGAGGTTATTAATACAAATACAAATAAACAGGCTTTTATTCCATTAAAAAATATCAAGATCATAATCTTTTAACATGAGATTGAGAGATATCACTGCATGATCAAACTCAAGTTTCTGAATGTTGTTTGCTCATGCAGTTTATGAGACTCAAAAGTTATTCTTGACCATTGACGTTATCTCCTTGACCATTGACGTTATCTCCTTTTGGAAGAATATAGGATGTAAAGATAAGCCACACATTTACATACATAAACAAGTCCCTTTTGATGTGGTTAGATATACCGTAAATCTCTGTTTTTTTTTGTTTTTTTTTAGTTTCGATTTATGGCGCTATGCCTGGCAATGTCTCCTAGCTCAGTAATCAGTGTGTTGACTCACCACTCGGAAACTACAACAACACTCAAATTTGTCTGTCATCTTGGTTTGAAAGTAATCTTTCTAATAGATCATGCATGACTATTGATGTTTGGCATAGAACACACTGCTTCTGCTAGATGATGTGAGGAGGCTGGTGTGGGACACTTGGTATCATGAACCTTAGACTGTTGTTACTATTAATTGTGACAAGTTCACAACTTCAACTGCACCTCGATGTAAAATGAAGGTCCTTCCTCGCGTGGGTTTTAAGCAACAAAACAACAACAACAACAAAACAAAAAACGATTTTTTTTTTTTTTTTTTTTTTTTTTTTTTTTTTTTTTTTTTTTTTTCCCCCCCAAAAAAAATAGGAGTGCGCCTTATACACAGGTGCGCCTTATACACGGAGATTTACGGTATACAATCCTTGAAACATTTGTGTTAAAAATGTAGGTTTGAAATCATATTATTTTGCATAATAACAAATTAACAGGTAATTGTTTGAAAAATGATTTTTATCTGTAAAATCATATAAAGGTCTGTTATTAGTTTATAGTTATACAGTATACTTCATGTTAGAAATTGTTGTTATTATTATCATTATTGTTGTTATACTTTGTTGTTATACATTTTTCGGGAGCAAAAAAAAAAAAAAAGTGCTTACTACCACTCCACCCCCCCCCCCCCCTTCCCGCCCCACTGAGCAAATTATCGGCTGGCTGTTTCGCCGCTAAATATTCACGAATTGGGCTCTTCCCCTGCCGCCGACTGGATCCGCCCCTGGTTATTGGTGTCATCATCATCATCATCGTTTTATTGTTATACTGCTACATATTTTTTTTTAGAGAAGAAAGTGTTTGTTTGTTGTTGTTTGTTAACAACCAAAAATTTAGAACTTCCCTCAAAACAAAAGGGCTTGAAAATGTTTTTTGTGGGTAAATAACGATTGTTTGTTTTCAAATCGAATTTAGCGAGCGAATGGTCGTATGTTTTGTGCTGCACAAAGATTCAATTAGCTTAGTTTTAGCCATTTCAAGGAGTGGAATATTTATGTGGACAAATGCTCATGAACCCTTTTACAGCTCATAAAGGAAAAAAGAAGTCAGTCAGTCAGACATTCAATAGTGTTTGACAGTGCAGTCTAGAAAGTAAACAGATTTCCTTGCATAATTCGAATAATAGAGCTAGGACACTGCTAAATTCTAAATTTCACAGATAGGACATACATACTTTACGTGGCATCAGGCCCGTACGCAGGATTTTTTCAAGGGGGTTGTTTTAACATTTATAAATCGGGCCAAAAATTTCGGGGGGGGGGGGTTTAGGGGGGGGGGGGGTTTACACACAATAGATTTCCAAAGGGGGGGGTTTAACCCCCAAACCCCCCCCCCCCTGTGCACGCGCCTGCGTGGCATACTCATGATTCCTGCGAAGTTCTACAGAATTTGATGTTGACTGCAAAAGGGATACACTACCTTTAAGCCTTTTTATTCTTCCAAATTGCACTGCATGCTTGTCTATCAGAGAATTGGCCATAAAGACGTGGCACCATGCCAGAGCTCTATCACGGTACCCAGATGCTGGACAGATGGGCGTCTTTATCCTCCCCTACTATAAGGTCTACTACCATCCACAAAACCAGGTATTCTAGTAGTAGCTATGTTATCTGAGATGCTCATGCTCCTTCTACTACCATCCACAAAACCAGGTTTTCTATTATACAGTGCGTCCCAGAAAAAACGAAACCGAGAATTATCGACGTTTGATCATAACTTAATCACAATTATAATTGATAAATGGCACATATTTGGAAAGCTGAGATCCTCCTCTTTCATCTGATGCAACTCATATAATGCATATTTCACGCGTGAGTGATTTAAATGAATTTGAAGAGAGGAAACCAAAAAGTCATTTGGCGGACGGTATCTGAATTTCAAAGAGAAAATCACATTTCCAGATATTTGAGTTTCTGCCCTTTCATATGACACCTCAATCACGAAAAATGAGCTAGGAATAACAAAGTTCTGTATGTTTAAAGTAGTGCTTGCATATCCATAATAACGAATTCGTTTTAACTGGCTGCCTGCCTTAAGCAACAAACGGAATCAAGAAAAGACTTAACTCGGTTTCGTTGACAATCGGCCGTAAACGAAAGTCTTCATGCATGGCTGATTGTCAACGAAACGGAGTTAAGTCTTTTGACAATTCAAATAGCGTAGGCGCTATTTGAAATTCATCAACATTTACCGGGAGCACCGGTAAATTTTTATATTCCATTTTTCTCGAAAGCAGAAGTGTTTTAGGGGCTAATTTTTCTCGTGCTTATAATACATCCACAGGGCCATCCAAATATATCAAAATGGTAAAGAATCACTATCCACCCAATTTTCTAAATTTCCAAAAAATTTTCATTACCTTTAATCAAAGAAGTTAAGTCTGGGATGTAGTCTTAAACATATAGCGTTGGTTTTAACTGAATTAGTAGAATACGAGCCTGAATGTTTGCAACTATTAAAACATGTTCCTGAATCCTGATTGCTTTAAATTTCAGTTCTGAGAAAAAAGGCATTTTGTATTCTATGAGTTTGTCACTGATTTTTCACTTCTACCCGATTTCATATTCAAAGGCTAGGCACTGGTGGAAAGACATTGTTCCAGATTATCGGCGGATTTCAAACGAGGAAATCAAAACAATGTTTCCTGGAGTACGGTGAGATATGAAGAGCAATTAAACCACTTCTTTGCCAGATAGAAAGTCTTAATGTCAACATTTATATTTTTAACTCTATGTTTAGAGAAAAAAAAAGAGCTATTTGTTCATTTTCTAGATCAAAAACATGTATACGTGTGAAGTTTGCTCTTTTAAAAGATATTTCATGCTGAAAATGTTGAGTAAAAGAAAGAACTAAAATCTTAAGAATGTTTTGAACTATGAACTTTTAAAGCCAAGTGATTCTTCACACATTTCTTAGGTGTAGACCTGTCTCTTGCCTTGAGTCCTCAGAATGAATAATTCAACTCATTCTGCAGTTGCAGAATATGTCCTTTATACAAAACCTAATAAGATTGGATGGGATGATGCCCATAGTGATTTGAAACACATCAATTGCCAAAAATTAGCCATCTAATTTTCATAGTTTCTCTTTTTTCTTTTTTTCTTTTTTCTTGTTATATTTTGTTGTCTAAAACAGAGAAGGCTATGTGTTTAGCTCTGTGATAATGGACTGTTCTCACTACCTACCGTATCTACAAGACAGGTAAGATATGTAAGACCATGAAACCTGCTTATAAAGACCACCCAAGGAAGACTAAGAGGAAACGGTCTCCATGGGCAGAGAGTCTTTATTTAATGGTTCCTTTAAGTTTAATACATGTTTCGATGTAAATCACCCTTCAAGGAAAATGAAGAATATGGTCTTTCTATACAGTTGCTGAAAGCAGGTGGGTCTACAATCTTTCTGATTGAGATTCCTAATAGTCATAATTGTTTGTAATGTGCTAAATGTGGGTCTTTAAGTTGGAGGGAAGGTACGATCCGCAGCAAATCACATTAACTTTAGATCAGTTGCACAACCATCCCACATATGATGGTGATTTTGCTTTTTTTTCTATGACTTTTAGAACTGTAGTACATTAAGAGCCATTAGAAACCTCTGTCACAAAGATTTAATGAACATTTTTTTTTTTTTCTTTTATCAATTTATTTAAAACTTTAATCCCCAAGTTGTTCCTTATTCTTTTCATGTTACTTAAAGTACATCTATAATACGATTTCTATCATGTAGTTAGGCATATATTTTAAGCCTTGAAAATTCAGCTTGAGTAGGAGAATATAATTTAACAAAACAGAAGATTTCTTTCAAGTTTTCAACAATAATTAATTCAATTAATTGAAGCATTACAATTCCTTATGCTGTTATTGGTTAAAGTGGCACGCTCCCGCCAGTGTAGTTATCGCTGCTCTTGTCATCGCCATCTTGGTTCCGAAGATCGACTTCTAATTTGCATACAGCTGTCAATCAAAGTACGCGCGGCCTGGCCTGCCTTCGCCAAGCCAGCTGATCGCTGACAATCGCGACGTCACGAAAGTGGGCGGAAACAGCAGCCGAATCTTAGAGCCGAACTGCGATTGGCATTACTTTGGCACATGTATGCGATAATCGGTATTGTCCGGGCATTCGGAACATGCCATCTGCGTAAGAGCCGTATTCTGTTGGTGTCAATAGGCAGCTAGCACCGTCCGCCAGCTGGTACGTATTTTGAACGCCCTCTGGAATACGGGGAACATGCCTCTTTAATGCAACGTTTTATAGAGTATTGTTTGGTTGCTTTTGAGATACCAATGATGATGATTGTACTTATAAATATTATGCATACTTTATAAAGGAGAATTCATATTCCCTTTTATGTGTATACATTATTACAACTCACAATATATATATTTTTTCATATATCTCTTGATGCAACAGATTGGTGCGAGCAGGGGGAAGAATATCAAAACAGAAAGTTGCATCTCTGCATGAGGTAATATTCTTCAAAATTCAAATGGCAATGTATATCATTTGTGCTGTAGTCATTTTGTTAACTGGGCTAGAAAGCATGAGGTACCTCAATGTTGGGGTGTGGAGTTGTGGTGTTTTGTACAACTTGTTGCAGCTGCAAATCAAAGGCTAGGGGCTAGGTAAGAATACAGTCTGAAACAATCGGGTATTTGGGGGCAACAGCCATCATGGAAATAAACTGAATAGGTTGCAACCTGAAAGGAAACATAATCCTTATATTAAGGTTGACCTTTTTTTATAATAAAAAATAAGGAATATATTTGTTACTAAACTAAATTTACAATGTTGGTTTTTGTTTTTGCAAAATTGCTTTTATCGCTTCTTTCTGCTTGATTACCAAGAGAGATACATGCTTACCTGGCTGTGAAAGAAATAGGAACCTGGAAGGAAAGAAATCCTTGAATGCTTGAGCACCTTAATTAGAGTGAACATGGTTTTTCATGGAGTATTGCAAATTGACTCAGCAATAGTAAATGAGAATAAAATCCAAACAAAAGAAAATTACAGAAAATAGAAACAGATGTAATCAAGTATATTCTATAACATTCAGTGAATAAAATTGTCTTTTTTCAAGATTGAAGGTGCAAAGCTTCTTATCATTAGAGGGAACAATGGAATTGGAATTTCAGGAATGGAATGTGTTTGCCCCCCTCCCCCCCCCCCCTCCGAAATTTGACCCCTTTCTCGGTTTTCTTCTCCTAGAACAATTGGTTTCAAGTCAAATTCATATGATATAATTAAATTTGTCTAAGTACAATACAACATTTGTTTTATTTGACAATATCCAATATGTTTCCAATATTACGAATAAACACCCGTATATGTATTCACATTCCAACTTACAGAGAATCAGAGAATCCACATTCAAAGTGAAAAAGAAGTGATATGGACATTAGATTATTTCTATTATGAGTTTTACTTGGTTATTACTATCAGTTTTACCTTTTAAAATAATTTTAGTTAGCAGGTCAATGTGATGTCATCATCAACTGTTCAGGACTCGGTGCTCAAGATTTAGTCTCGGATATGAACATGGCGCCAAAAAAAGGACAGGTCGTTCACGTAAGAATGACTCCGTTATTAATACGAATGAATTCTTTATTAATTGTACAATATTATTTATAGGCCTCTGCCCACCACAGGTGGTGCCGGAGGCATTTTGTTTTATAGATTCCCTATGACGGTTATATTTCCAAATGGTTCCAATCATTAAATTGGATCACTAGACTTGTGTATCATATATCTGATAGACTATTTATTTATATTGTCAGATCCAGCATTCGGCACTTGACAGAGTTTGTGTAGCGACCAGAAAAGAAGATGAAGAATGTTTGTAGTACTACTGGTATATGACTATTAAAATAGTTGTTGTAAAATCAGACAGTTTGTGAAGCAAGTTTACCCATCAATTATCAAAATGTTACATACTGTATTGCTTTTGTTAAATTGCTCTTTGTTTAATTGGTTTTCCCTGTTTTCAGGTAGAAGCACCTTGGATTCATTATGCTCTTGAAGTTGAGCCGGCTAAGACCGAGACAGATAAATACAGGTTCTATGTTATCCCACGGTAAGAGCCCAATGTATGCTCTTACTATCATCTCATCAAACAAAATTTGTAATAACATTTTATATGAACATCAAATATATGAAGTCTTATTGATTGAGATTTGGAATATTCATCGGAATAGTAAAAATTAGATGTCAATGCATTGCAAGTCTGCTCGCAGGAGGAAAAGTTGAATTGACTCTGAATTGTATGGATGTCATCGTAGTAGTAAAAATAATAATAATAATGGGTTCTTGTATAGCGCTCATGTCAGTCAGATTTGACCCTCCTGGCGTTCCCGATTATTACCCTGGCTTTAGCACGGCTGCCATACGGCGCTCTAGCATTTCAAGGAATAAATTCCTACCAGGTACCCATTTACTTCACCTGGGTGGAGTGTGGCAAATGTAGATCAATGTCTTGCCAAAGGACATTAGTGCGGCGGCGGGACTCGAACCGCAACATCCACACTAGTAGTAGTATTAGTAGTATCATTATTAAAGGTAATACAAAGTTTTGGTATAGGGTCATAAATTTGGTTCAAATGAACATATTGGAAGCATATGCTATCCTTCAATATTCAGTGATCATTGTCGCGGTTGAAATCGAGTTATGAAAGTTATGAAATTGTATTTAATAAACTATTTATGTTGTAAAGCTCCCTCTCAAGGTCGAGATATTAATTAAGCTATACAACAATGTTTCTTGACTTAAATCGACCGATTGGCTATTTCTGTTTGGAAATTATATATCACAGCTGCATATTCTGAGATTTTCATGGTCACAGCTACCATTGTACGGCTGTAGGCGCTATTTGAAATTCATCAAAATTTACCGGGAGCACCGGTAAATCTTTATATTCAATTTTTCTCAAAAGCAGAAATGTTTTAGGGGCTAAATTTTCTAGTGCTTATAATACATCCACAGGGACATCCAAATATATCCAAATTGTAAAGAATCACTATCCACCCAATTTTCAAAATTTCCCAAAACTTTGTATTTACTTTTAATGGTAATAGTAGTAGAAGTAGTAGTAGTAGTAGTATTGGTGGTGGTGGTGGTGGTGGTGATGGTGGTAGTGGTGGTGGTAGTGGTGGTGGCGGCGGCGGCGGCGGCGGTAGCGGTGGTGGTGTGTAATGATTGTGTATCGTTTGAGGTATAAGACACATGCATGCTCCTTTGATAATTTCCTACACTAATAAACTGAATCCTCAAATTCCCACCCTGGACCTAACAGTATACCTAAACCTGAATCTAACCTTAGGTCTACCGAAAAAAAATTGTTTTTCTAACTTTAAAGTGTTGGGAGCCCAAATAGTTTGATGGCAAACATTCAGTTCAATCGTATAATGAAGTGAAATAGGATGTAATTTAACACTGACTTCTGTAACAATTTTCAGAATAAATATGTTTGAAGACGAACGAAAGAATACAAAGTTTAGGTTTTCTGTGTTCAACCCAAGTTTTGTATTCTTTCATCAATATTCGGCTTTAAAAACATTTTTTTTGAAAATCCTTGCAGAGTTGAGTGTTATATGACATCCTCTTATAAATCACTACACAATTTTAGTGAAATTTTGCCATCAATTTTTTTAGCAAATTTTGAGCTCCCAACACTTTAAAAGGGCTTTATCCTGTTATTTTCGACAAAAAACTGGAGCATTTGTCATTCGAGCAAATGTCTGATCACCACTTCATCCCTGCCCTCTACTTGCAGTTGTAATGAAGTGATTCTTGGAGGAACTCAGCACAATACTCCTGGAGTATCTGTAAGCTCTGAGGACAGAGAGGCCATTTTGACTTCTACAGCCCTCTTCGTTCCAAGTCTAAAGGTATATAGCAGGATGCCAGTCCATCATTGTAATTCTCATATTGTTCTCTTTTCTGCTCTGGGTAGTAAGTTCTAGACACAACCTGTTTGCAGAGTCTCTGTTATTGGCTTCACATCTGTGTGCAGCTGTGTGTCTATATATATCTATAGTACACTATTCCACTTGATATCGTTAGATATTGTAACAATGATTAAGAGCAGTACAGATCGAGTGTCTCATTTTGGAGATGGGTAATGGGTGGTTTTCCTGGGAGATTCACAGGTGGGTCTCATAGGGTAGTGGTCTAGCTTGTGGACAACCTTCACAAGTCCTGCAAGACTGATATAGTCGGTAGGGCTGTCAGTCTTGTTGACTGTCAGTCTATTGGCAATTGGTCTAATGAACCAAGCACCCATCCCAGACTGATAGCAATTAAGATCGGGTCTATTGCAGTTTATGGGAGTTGCATGCCCCATCTCGCAGAATTATATTAATAAGACACCTGCACTGATCTTCTGTGATGTGCGGCAGTATCACAACTCAGGTATCCAATAGGTATTCAACATGAACTTCAGTTCAGGAGATAGTTCTTGGAACAATTTATAGTTTTGTTATCATTATCACAGTCAGAGTAAACTGGTTCTTTATTACTTGATTCATAATTTATATTACACTTTACTGTACGTTTAGTGGTCTACACAACACCTGCTCTATTTTCTCTGTTTTTTCTTCTCCTAAAGAACGCAAAATTCAAGGGTGACTGGGCAGGATTACGTCCAAATAGATCGACTGGGTTACGGTTGGAAAAAGAAACAATCACTAGTGGATCAAAGCAGTTACATGTAAGTATTCAACCTCTTCTAACAACAAAATGAGGAAATTAAGAATATACAAGAAGGGTGACTGGCTGCAGTGTTAGTTTTGCATGAAAACAAAAGACATTAGTTTATTTATACTGAAATATTGAATCGTAGAGAGAAAGTACGAGGTATTCAGTCTTGATTTTCAAAAAGCTAGTTATGATTAAATGCTTGACTTCTTGGTTCATGCTTTGACGTTCAAAATATTTAGTATCCCCAATTTTTGTAATTTCATCTCCAAATTTCTTATGTTAGGGGCTTATTATGAAAGTGAAATGATAATTGGCACAACTGCACCACGAGTGTCAATAATTGAGAGACATGGCGCATTATAAATGTTCACTATAATTATTATTATTATTATTATGATTATTATTATTATTATTATTATTTATTCTATTAATGTAGAGTTATGTTGGATTTAAAAGCTTTTGATTTTGAAAACAAACCGTCATACTAATGAACATTTGCAAGGTCTGATTTTGTTGTTTTTACCTCCCCTATTCTCTTTCTCTTACTTCAGGTCATTCATAATTATGGCCATAGCGGCCAGGGCATCACTCTGCACTGGGGTTGCGCACTGGAAGCTGCCAAGATGGCTGCAGAAATCATAAACAAAACAATGGTGACATCCAAACTCTAACTGCTTTCATATATTGATGGATCTCATAGTGTTACTCTCAATGGTAGATTCCCTAGATTGTCAAAGTCAGTTATTTTTAATTCATAGCCTTGGGGTTATTGTCGTGTTGGGATCGATGTATGCGATATTGGCAGTAGGAGAGGTACATATTATGAAGCAGCAAGGAGAGACTTGTAATTCCAGAGTCATATCAAGAGTATTTATTATCTCCAAACTTTGGAGAATCAAATCGGTCACATCATTATGAACTTTCACATGAGAGAGCCAGCTAGAAAGAGGGTCTTGATCTCATGGTGATCAAAACTCCACTCCTCTACAGAAAGCCAGAACATGTAATATTTATACAGAAGGATACAAGTAATACGAGGGTAGGTTACATTGTGTCAAAGGGACAAAGACATGAAAGAGAGCCACCAAAACAATGGACAACTTGGTAGTTTTAGGTATGGGCTTAAACATAACAGAGGTGGTATTTCCTGGGAAGGGGATTGTGAATGCACTTGGTCTTTCTATGGGGAAGGATTATAAAGATATAAACTTGGCTTTTAAGTGCATCTCAAATTGGGCATCTTGTCGGGGTATAAATATGAGGGTACTTTATGATTAACTGAGTTTTGGGACAATACTACACGACATCATTTCTCCTTTAAGGATAGTTTCAGGGTTTCCTGAAAGGTCCAAACTACAGTTCTGTTAGGGGGGAGCCGTTAATTGCTTTAAGTTCTTTTCTTTTGGGAAGGGGTGGTTGGAGAAATGTTCTTGAGCCTTTGTTGGAAAATTTGAAAATCTAGTTTGTTGCTTTGGGTAAATGCTCTGCTACTATCTTGTCAGCAAATTTTGTCCAACGTACAACCCTCATTCAAAATGGTCTTGCCACTCTCCCAGTCAAAGTCTTCCATTAGTAATTTCAACTTGTTATGATTGCTTCCATTCAAATTATATTTTAATAATCAAATAATCATTCTTTCTTAAAAATACCATACATTTAAATAAATTCTGTTTATTAACATGTGTGTTGCTGTGATTAACTTGGTTATTGAAAATATGTATGTCTTCTGTTAACTCGACAGTTCAACAAATATTTGTATCTTGAGTAGTCAATTTTATTCATGTTATGAATATGAATTACCTTGAATATATGTTTGTTAATTTGTTGCAAATGAAAATCAATAAAATTCCTGTGGAGGGGAAAAAGTATGAAGGAACAAAAAAAAATGTCAGTAATATTGCAATATTTGAAACGCCAAAGAGAAACCTATGCAATACTATTTGTCAATCGAAATCCAGCGATTATAAAGATAGCATTGCAAATCTGCCACTGCAAAATTTGTCAATTAAAATCTGTCGTCAAAAATCTAAAAATAGAAATCTGTACTATATTTTTTACAAAATAATATTGTTGCCTCATAGAAGAACAAGCAAACTATAGAGGCCTCTAATATCAAGTGATTATACTACTTGTTTATATACCCCCAAGTCTTGTCACATTGTACATGGCAGTCGATCAAGCAATGTAATTTAACTTGTCATGGTCATTTTGAAGAATGCATTGTTACCCTAATTCACATGCTTCCCCTTATCTAAACATTTTTCTTGATCCATTGTACACTCATGCCATGCATACAATGCATGAATAAACATGTTTGAAGTTGTGATGGGATGTCCTTAAAGTTTGGGGGATATAAGCCAAATGTGGTTATCTTCAAAGATCTTTGATCGAAACTGGCATCAGGTTATATATTTTACAAAGTGTAATTTGAGGGCTATTTAAAAAAAAAGTATTTTCACGTGCGTTTACAAAACACACTTAAATAATAATCAGAAGCAAAATTCTATTTCACTGTTGCATGGTGATTGAGATTTGGTCGTATCTTTCCAGGGTGTTTTGAAGAAGTTGAATTTTGTCACTGTTGTTTCTTCTTCAAATAGTAATTTATAATCTGATGATTGTGCTCAATACGTTGGCATTAATTTGGAAAAATGTAATTTTAACTGTACTAAAAAGGATCGTTAGGAAGAGTATTTTTGCCTTTGGTATATTATATTTGTAGTCCCTTTACGTCCTAATTAATTCACCATTATGAACATTAAGGAACAGATTAAAATAGAATTATTGTATCTTATCTCATATACAAGAAATAACCATCAAAGGAGGGGATTTAGAGGGAAACTATTTCAAGATGATGCTTTGAAAACGTTTATATCCTTGATACGTCAATATTAGTAACATGGAGTATTAAATGCCCCTTTCATAATGACTTTAATGCATCATTCGTCATATCCTATTATCGTCTACTCTTAACTTTTAAAAGGGGCCTATATACTTGTTATGTCTTTTACTGGCAACTATACCCTCATCGTAATATCTTTAATTTGAAAAATCATTTGGAAAAGAGGGTGCCCCGTCATTTGATTAGATGAGACGAATACACAACTATCCTATCAGCTCTTAATCCGAACATAAACAGTTTGTAAATGGTCGTCTTGGTTATAAGTTTGATTTTGATTTTTGATAACCTAATAATAATGATGTATCGACACAGCCATGGAAAATATCAGACCTAGCTACTAAAGGTACTGATACCAAAATAGCAAGCTCAAATGATATTGACCACAGTAAATCGTTATTCAGTCTAGGAAGCACATAGAAAAGTATTTTGTCAGTTTCTATACGAATACTCCTGTAAGTAGAGCTTAGTCTAACATATTTTACAGGGCTATATATGGTTCATTACAGAATATATATTATAGGCGTTTTATTTTATGTTTAACATCATTGTCATGTTGTATCCAATGTACCATGAAAAAGATGAAGGAGATGGAATTATATTTTCGGACCTATCTTGTCTATCTTTTTCATAAATATATATTAACTTTTCAATAGTACCCCGCTTCTCTTACCTCGATTAACGTATACTGGGATAAATGTTTGTGGTATGTTCTAAACTGTCACAACAACCATTGCCAACATGCGATTGCATTGTATCTTCACCGTACATTAAAACAACCTGTGTATGACAAAATTAAATGGAAGTTGATTATGATCATGAAATAAACATCTTTATATCCATTAAAAGAACATTTCTAGATAATGATGTTGTTTTTGTGATTATTGTTTTGAGAAAGTGATAGTGCAATTATTCTAGTACATGTTGTAGTAGTAGTAGTAGTTTCATCATCGACATCGGCTTCTTCTTCTTCTTCTTCTTCTTCTTCTTCTTCTTCTTCTTCTTTGCCTTCTTCTTCTTTGCCTTTTCACCTGGAAACACCTTTAAATCCTTAGACTTCATCAATTCCATTTTCTGTAACTATACCATGGACCTTTTAGCAATTGAATGCCACTTAATGTCGGAATCATACATTTTCACGTTGGCAGCTCACTGACTTGCGCCCTTAAAGTTCTTAACCCGTGACTCACTTAATTAGATCATGCATTGTTCCAGCGTGATTTTAATTAAAACAACTGTTTTCAATTTGTCATCAATAATTGGTCAAGAAACTGACCAATGCTCAAGTCAAAAGGACTTTTTTTGTCTTTCCAAACTCTGTTATGATGCCTGCATGCAATTGACACATTATGGGAGAGGATTTGATTAAAATATCATCTTTTTACTATGTTGGAAATAATAATAATAAAGTCATTTTTATATAGCGCATATACAATAATAAATTCTCTATGCGCTTTACAATGCAATTATTATACAATATATTACATGAATATATTACATGATTAATCTAAAGATTTAAATATGCCTGAATTAATAGAAATACATATCGTATACAATGATGACAAAATCAGATAGAATAATAAAAGGTATAAACTTATGAACACAATCATAATAGCTGAATAATTACGATCTTATAATAGTAAGAAAATAACATTATTTGACATGAACTAATATTTTCAGTTTGGTTTTGTTATCCGATCAATGATCAATGTTCAGTGAATTAGTAAAATGATCGTAGCAAAGAGAACCAATAGATCTCTGTGGTAAATAGTTGAATTAAAATCAGAATTAGTGCCGTGATGTGTGAATTGTACATTTCCTCTGCTCCGTCTCTGATCCGTGTTAAACCATGATTTGCTGTGTTTGTAATGCATGAGAAATAAAGCATACTAGATCAACACAACTATATAGTGTAAGCTTTCACAAGACAACAAACACACAAACAATTAAACACGATTAATCACTACCAGTTTATATAAGAAAATGTCTATGCAGGCTAGGAGTGTAAGAGCGAACGATTCTGTTTTTTTTTAATACGGTGTTGAGGCTAAAAATGTGCCAACATAAGTCTCTTTCCTGCTTAGTCACGTGATCATCCATGTCAATATTATGTTTTCATATCTGTTTCCGTATCAGAATGGCATTTTAAACGCTAATCAAAACTTCTAAACAGAAATTTATTACATTTCTAGTGGCACTGAATCTGGATTACCCTTAAAATTATTGATTTACTTTTTTTTTAGAGGATAAAATAATGAATAGGTTGGGGGAAATGTTTTCAAGCAAAAATTTTTCGTTAAGTTCCACCATCAAAATGTCACAGGTAGAACCTCAAGCATTTCAGGCTTTATTCATTGAAAGTGTGATTGATTGATTGTTTAAACGAATGATTTACATTGTACACATTTATTTCAATTTGTCGAACGAAAGATTTATTCAAATTCTTTGTAATAACTTGAGCAGTAAACTTTATCAGGTAGTTTTGGAAGAAGGGATTTGATTGGTCCAGAAAATAAGCACGTGACCGTATTGTACGAGACGTCTGTTGATCTTTAGTATAGGGGCATATTATGTGTAATAATAATTGATAGGTGTTAATGAGTGTTGCCGGTTTCGTTCAAGCGGAAAAAGGAATACAGGACATTTGGTCAGTGTTTAAGGAGTTTAGAATGATGCTAGTGGCATTATTGTATAATAAAGAACGAAAATTGCGTTTATCCTACTTCGCTAGTAAACAGTTTGTTTCTAGACTTTAAAGAGCACCTCTATTTACTTCGGACCTTGAAGATAGAACTGTGAATGATGTGGAGTCTATTTAAGGTAATTAGGTTACAGGCAGTAAACATTAGCACTTCCGCACAGGAAAGTGCATCGGCGCGCATGCAACTTTTCTTTATTGTCGAAAGATAATAATATTCAGTTCTTGTATAGCGCATTTCAATAACGTCCCTATGCGGTTCCAGAGAGCTTTGGATATTAATACCCTAGCTTTATCTCCGGCAGCCGTTATCAGTGCACAGTGCGTTACAAGGAATCCTACCAGGTGTTAATAGTGAGCTATATATTGACCATGTCGACTTCGAGCGCCCGAACGAGGAGAGTAACGGTGGTCGGCGGGGGACTGGTCGGTTTGTCTACCGCCATCATCATTCAGGAAAATGTGCCGAATGTTCACGTCGAACTCCTCGATGACTTCGGGTTTACGACCACGTTGCTGAGCAGAGCGAACTCGAAGGCGATGAAAGGTTTCAGGACATCAAGCCCTTCGGAGAAAATCGGAAACAGATCGGCCGAGATTCTAAGGTTAGAATTTATTAGAGGTTGTGATAAAACAGTTTTTTCATTTCTTTTTCTCTCTGATCTTTCTTCCGTATTTGTTTTTCTTTAAATAGTGAAGAATCTATTACCAGAGTTTCTGAATTACAATATACAGTGTAACTGCAAACAACTTTAACAAGCTTTTACAAAATATTCCTACAATCATTTGAGATAGATAGAAAGCACAGAGAGAGAGAGAGAGAGAGAGAGAGAAAAAAAAAGAGAGAATAGTGGTTAAGTTCATCAAATCAAATGAATAGACATTTAGTAGGGATGGGAAATATTGAGGAAAATTACCTAAGTAAGCAGTGGAGAGAAGGGGGTAGCTAATGATTAGAACCTAAGTTAGGAAAATAATGCAGTGTAAAGATTGATAGAAAACGAACAGAGTGCGAGAGGGAAGGGGGGGGGGGGGGTTGTGATCGAGAGAGATATCTTGAGATAGGAGGCTCAGGGAGAGGTTTCATGATTAAAGCTGGCACTTGAAGGAAAAGTGACAGACTCATGGGTGTGACTGAGGAGCTTGGAGAGACTGAGAGATAGGTGAACATGGTAGACGTAATAAAGGTTTCATAACCTGGCTGAGCGCGCCGCGCGTGGTCTCTATTGCTTCGTTGGTTTAATAAAAACAAACAAATGAGAAAAAACAGATCACTGGAAGGTTGAGGAAATCATTTACAAAGGATAAATGACGTGAGTTCCTGATAAAAGAACAAATCGATCGACCACCGATTTCCAACTCAGTGACGTATTTTTTACCTCTCTAATTTGCTCTCTTAAAGGTATTACACAGTTTTTTGGAAGTTTTGAAAATTGGGTGGATAGTGATTCTTTACAATTTTGATATATTTGAATGCCCCTGTGGATGTTTTATAAGCACTAGAAAATTTAGCCCCTAAAACACTTCTGCTTTCGAGAAAAATTAAATATAAAAATTTACCGGTGCTTCCGGTAAATGTTGATAAAATTCAAATAGCGCTTACGGCCGTACAATGGTAGCTGCGACCATGAAAATCTCAGAATATGTAGTTGTGATATATAATTTCCAAAGGGAATAGCTAATTGATCGATTTTAGTCAAGATACATTGTTTTATAGCTTAATTAATATATAGACCCTGAGAGGGAGCTATACAACATAAAGATTGTATTATTTACAATTTCATAACTAGAGGGAGGGGGGGGGGGGTTGTGATCGAGAGAGATATCATTGAGATAGGGGGCTCAGGGAGAGGTGCATGATATTATAGCTGACACTTGAAGGAAAAGTGACGACTCATTATGTGATGAGCTTGGAGAGAGACAGACAGGTGGACACGGTATAGACGTAAAGGTTTCATGACCTAGCTCGAGCGCGCCTGCGCGATCCGTATATGGCGCGCCGTTTGACCAATAATTCAGATAAACCACTTGTTTATCGAGCGATAATCACTATGTCCCTTTTGCAGCCAACCTCTAATTCTGTGGAACTTTGCAGGAATTATGAATATGTCATGTATGTCCTATCTCTGAAATTTAAACGTTAGCAGTGTCCTAATATTCGAATTATGCAAAGAAACCTGTTTACTTGCTGGACTTCAATGTCAGACACTACAAATGAGATGCATTGCATATGCATTTTGCAGTCACACACACATATACACGCGCCCAAATGTTGAAATTTGATACGTCATAATGTGGGGCATGATTAATTTTGTAAGGGTGATTTTTGGGATCTGCAATTAAGGACCGAATTAATACCGAAATCCCAACCGTTTTATTCAAACATCACATAAGCAACTGTGGCGCAAGTCGATTTTTGCACTCCCTCAAACAATGCCTCCTGTTCATCCAAGCGGCGTGAACAAATACCACACAAAATGAGACTAAATGATTTTTAAAATAATTAGCATTTTTCTAGGTTTAAAGTTTTTTTTTTTGACTCACACTGTATAGCTCCTAAGTCGATTTGACAACTAAGAGTAGTTATTTTTCCACTTGAAGACATTTTTTAAGCCCCACCTTTTTAGGGAAGTTCTAAATTAGTATAATCTTTCAAATGCCGTTGGAATTTAACCTCATTTTTTTGGCCTGCAAATGTGACATAGTACCTTTAAGGAGAAAAAATATGTTTATCACTCGATAAACAGAGTTTCTCTCGATAACATTGTTTATAGAGATAATTACTGTTCATCGAGATAAGTACTGTTCATCGAGATTTATTGAGCGATACATAACATAGTTTATCACGATTAACGGTGTTTACAAGACAACCTCGAAGTTGATAACCATGACCTAAACTTCAAGTTTACCGACTGTCCTGTTAACACAACTATTTTATACGGTAAGGTATTTTAGGGCTACGAATATGTCTGGGAATGAGTTCCTCATGTTGGAGGCCTGTACGTTTAAAAGGTTATGAGTGCAACTTTTAGAGTTATATTAGTCTACTCATAATGTCATTAACTCTTTTTTTGGAAGAAAAAACTTTAACTTCTTTTAGCATATCACGTACTAGCATTGCGTGTTGGAATCGGATTATTTTGCACTTTTAATAGTTCCTGCCACCAATACCCAGTCTTATGGTTCCCGAACTTTTTATGCAGCATCCCCTCAACTCTGGAACAATTTACCTCAATGTATAAAACAAGCAGATTCAACAGACAAATTCAAATCCATGTTAAAAACCTACTTTTTTGTTAAATAGCCTTTTTCATTTGCATATGCAGCCCCTCGATTGTCCACTATCTATTATGTATAACTTAATATTTGGCTGTAATTCCTTCTCTTTCTATTTTTCTTAAGCGCTTAGAGACATATTTTGTGATAAGCGCTATACAAATGTTGTTAATTATTATTATTATTCAAATGTTGATTTTATAACCTATCTTATTTTATTCTACAACTAGTAAATAAATTCTATCTATAAAACTTGTTACAAATTTATTCACCAAAAACATAAAATACTGTCAAATATCTTTTATCTTCGAACTTGGGCGTTGTGGCGTGCGCCTGTAATCCAGCTAACAGTGGAAGTTACAAACTGATTCAGCCGAGAACGCAGGTTCGAAACTGAGTCACGTCTTTCGGATGGTGACGTTAAAAGTCGGTCCCCAGACGTAAATAATCATATCTGATTGATACACGTCTGTAAAAACCCAAATACACACACACACCACATTATAACACGATAGTAATTTATTTCGAAAAATTAACATAATGCAATTTTAATGGTGCGTCGCCTATTAAAACGTGCAAAAATGGCAATAATGATACCGTATTGCATAATTCAATGAGTTCTATAGGACTTCAATATGGTTCTAAAATTTCCCTTTATTCGGTTTTTCGAAAAAGTTGCGATCGTTTTAGATATAAGGAACTTTATTCTACTTTTACCTCTAAATGAAATATAGGGCATCGAATTGGTCTGTATCTATAAAACTAATAGTAACTCAAGCAAAAGATTACATTGTTAAAATTGGTTCTGTTGTTCATGCAACGAGGCGCTGCTATGTGGGTAGCTTGTACGACCATGATAATTGTATGCAGAAGTGTACGTATCTACATGCAATCATCATGGTTTTTCATCTCCCTACACTTTCCAAATTGGTGATTTGAACATAATGTTTATTAGATATAGTTGGAGAGTAAAGCTTCGTTGGTTTAATAAAAACAAACAAATGGGAAACACGAATCACTGGAAGGTTCAGGAAATCCTTTTCAAAGGAAAATAACGTGAGTTCCTGATAAAAGGACAAATCAATCGACCGCCGATTTCCAACTCAGTGATGTATTTTTTACCTCTCCAATTTGCTCTCTTAAAGGTACTGTCCAATTAGCAGGCAAAAAATAAAAAGGGTAAAATTCCAACGGCATTTGAAAGACAATACTAATTTAGAACTTCCCTCAAAACGGAAGAGCTTGAAAATGGCTTTTAGTGGGGAAAAAAGGACCATTAGAGGCTAATTTTTAGACCCTTTTACCGAATGGTCGTACGTTTTGTGCTGCACAAAAATTCAATCAGTTTAATTTTGGCCACTACAAGTAGTGGGTTATTGATGTAGACAAATGCATGAACATACATGACATATTCATAATTCCTACAAAGTTCTACAGAATTTGATGTTGGCTGTAAAAAAGGACATAGTGTAACGGCGACTTATCTTGTTCGACAATAGGCAGATATATTCCTATTTTGTGAAAGTCCCAAAATATAGCCCCGTATGTTGAAGTTTAGTTGTCCGGGGTGGACGAGATTCAGGGAGAATAAACACACGAGAGGCAGAAATTACAGCTAAGGAGTTTATTATACAGCAAACTCAAACACATTTAAAAGGATGGATAAAAGAGAATGTCTTGCAAATCAGAGAGGCAAATAGTGGTGCAGGCATTATAACTGGCATAAACCACTTTCAAACAAGCCTCCTCTGTTCGAGGAAAATAGAGAGAGACCAGATAATGTAGGTCACAAGTATCGCGCTGCGGAGTATTTAGGAGAAGGGCGTCATGCAGTGGCGGATCCAGGGGGCCCGGGGAACGGTAGGGGGGGGGGTGCGATTTTTCAAATTTTCGAGGGCCTCCCAAAAACAAATTGTACTCACTATCCCCCCTACCCCCAAATTATCGGCCGGCGCGATTTTCAAATTCCAACACTAAATTTCAAATTGATTTCAAATTTGGCCCCCCCCCCTCCCCCCCCCCCCCCCCCCCACTGCGCGAATTATCAGCCGGCGCGATTTTACAAATTTTCTGGAGCAAAATTTAATCAATAATTGTTACAAAAAAATTAGTAAAAGTATTTCTGCCTATTCTTCCATGCTCAAAATCCAATGTAACACTCGAAACACTTCTTTTTTAAATCGATGGCTACAACATTGTTACAAAATTTGAGTAATTTTACTGAAATCTTTGATCTCGGTCGGTATGGATGAAATATATTGGACTTGCCAAAAACTTTAAAGACTTACGTTTTCATAAATCATTTCAAACTTTCGAGTAATATATTTCTGCCTTTTCTCCATATTCCAAATCCATTGCTTCACTCGAAACATTACATTTTTCTACGTTTTTGAAATACTACATAATGATTGTAAAAAATTGAGTAATTTCTTTTCTTCCATTTTAAAAATCCAATCTTTCACTAGTAACATGGGTCCTAGAGCAGATGATGAGGGTCAATCGTTTGTTGCTGACGTCATAAAAGATGGCCTCAATGTCGGAGCTGCGGCGCTCTTAACCCAAGAGCTTTCAAGCACGAGATCAACATCGAGGGTTTGGTCATCTGATGATGACGTCATATGGATGCCTCAGTCAGTCCCCGGGCTTGATGACGACACTACTGGGAGAGGTGGATATTACAGGTAAACAGCTAGGGGTTGTTGTATTGTAATGTGTAACTCCAATTGAGTGTTGCGGGGGAGGGAGGCTGGATAACCAGTTTATATTCACTATATGCGAATAAATACATTTAGACCAGGGGCGAGCGGAGGTAGCAAAATGTTCGAAATAATGGGCATCTACATATTTTCGTCGGCAAAAGCCTATTTTTGTAGACACATAAACAATGGCACTAAAATCATGAACATTTGCATGATTGTGTTTTCATTTGCTCTGTTTATCGGTGATGCGGGAATAAAGAATATCGTCGACGCTAATTTTCAAGTAGACAAGAGGACAGAAGAAAAGACAAATCCATTATATCCAGTGACATAGCTACGAGAGGGTCGAAAAGCAGGTGCCCAAATCGGATGGCCAGTAAAAGAAATAAACACTGGCCTAGAGATAAAAGACAAGAAGGATCCTAATTGTTTTTGTTTAACTTTCTTTCCGACATATTTATTTACTGATGTTTTTCCTTTAAATCGCTTTTAGATTCTGGGCAGTGCTCACATGGTATCACTTATACGAACTGATGCAGAAAGAAAGCTCTTACAGAACCGGAGTACGTCTCCTCTCTGACTACATACTTCACCAATGGAAAGATAAACAGGTCAGTTATAGCGATGATACATCTTTATGATATTGGCCCTAACCATAACTCATTATTACATTAATACATAAAGGAAATCAAGACGATTTGGTTACCTTTTGATCCGATTCTTCGTTTATTATTCTCAACTCGAGCAACAACCCCAAAATTAGCATATTCATAAATCATCTAATTTGCATATTCGTAACAGTTTGTTTAGTTGTATATAATATAATGTGCCCTCCTACAAAAAAAAGATAATTTATACTGCATTAAAAATGATATGAATATGATTTGTAATGAGCATGTTAATGAAGCGATCGTATGATTAAAAACCATAATAGAGATGAAAAAAGCACAAAATCTAAAATTATTTATGTTGAATTATACATAGGATCAAAATAATTTGCATTCAAAGAAACTCAGTCCATAACTAATAATGATGTAAATTTATTTTGATCCAAGGTTTCTGATTGGTGGAAAGACTTGGTACCGGATTACACACCCCTCCATAACAAATTCCATGAAGATGATGATCAGTCCACGTCAGGCCCGCTGTGAGTTAGAAAACATTCTGCTCTCTTAGTCTGAATATAATGTCATCTTCATATTTCTCTTTCTTTCTTTTTTGTTTGTTTGTTTGTTTGTTTGTTTCTTTCTTCTGCCTCCATTTTTAGTGGTGAATTAGCGCCAGATGTATTTAAAAATACTATAATACGATGTGATCCTTGTGCTTTTAACTTGAATTTTCATTTTTCAAATTATTGTCATTGAGTGAAATGAATTAAATTGAATAGAATATACCTCACCATTTTGCCTATTCCTATTTTTCTGTTTATCCGATATCTAACTTCAGCCCTCTGATTAGTTTCACATTTTCTCCCCCCCCCCCCATTTTTTCTCTCTTTCTGTCTCTCTCTCTCCATCCCTTCCTCCCTCTCTCTCTATTTACATTCCCTCTTCTCCACCTCTTTTTTTCATTCTCACCCCCTTCTATCTCTCTCTCTCTCTCATTATCACAGGAAGTACAGTGTGAGCTTCACGACAGCGGTGATAAATGTACCCCGATACGTGCAATACCTGACCGAAAGGTGTGTTGGTTTGAATTTATTAATACAAGCATTCAAATTTGTTTTCTTTCTTTACACGTTAAATGATATTGTACGTGTACTCCTAGTGCGATAACTTCACTCGGCTTGATACAACTATATAGGGGCAGGTCATCATGTTTTATATCATATTTTTTAATGGATAGATTAGGAATTTGGAATATGCTAGCAGCAGAATTTTGAATCATCAAAACATTTTGCGTATCAACTGGCGGATTTTATGATACAAAAATTCTTCAGAATTTCTAATGGCTCACTTCAGAAAAAGGAACGTATTGCAAGATTGTCTTCTGCTCATTGTGATGAAGACATATATTTGTTGCCAAAAGAAATGAGATTCAAAAACGTCAAATCCACTTTCTGAACTTCAGTATCATAGACTTTCCCCACCTGGCTCAATATCTGTACGATTTCCCAACCTTCTTTCATGTTTCTTTTTAGATTTCTAAGGTGTGGTGGTGGAATCACAAGAGGCCAAATTTCATCGATAAATGAGGTAAGATTATCTCTTCCCTCATGTTCAGGTAGCCTACTTAGAAGGTATTCTACCCATACAAAGCAGCATCAAAATATACCTTCTATACTGTAATCCTCTTCCTCCTCCTCCTATTTCTTCTTCTTCTCCCTCCTCCTCTTTCTTATTATTCCTCTTCCTATTCTCATTCCTCTTGTTGGTGTTGTTGTTGTTATTCTTCTTGTTCATCCCGGCCCTTCTTAATCTTCTTCTTCTTTGTCTTCTTCTTCTTGCTCTTCTTTTTAATCAAAATTTAAATTAGGTTAATTCATAAATTACCTCTAATTTCCTCTTTATCTCTTGTCATCCTCTGTCCAGCTGCCAGGGCCATGTGAGTTGCTTGTTAACTGCTCGGGTATGAACACTGATCAGCGGATCAGCGACAAAGCAGAACTTCCAGAGGTGCAAGCCCAACAGTTATCGGTTAGTTTTTTTTTGATGATTCCATATAGTTTGGCAATATTGTTCTTTTAATAGACAGTACTTGAGTTTCAAATCTACCATTGACAAGATGAAGGGAAAGAGCAAGTAAAAGTGAAAGAGAGAGAGAGAGAGAGAGCTAAACACACCCACCACACACACACCCTCACATAGATTTAATTGACAAAAAACAAAGGGCTTAAATTAGAAAGGGAAAGGGAAAGAGAAAGAGAAAGAGAGAGAGAGAGAGAGAGAGAGCGAGAGGGTAAAAGTGAGAGAGAGAGAGAGAAGAAAAAAAAGGTAGAGAGTCATATAAATCTATAGATAAAGAAAACAAAGGGGAAATAGAGAAAGATAATAAGGGAAAGAGTCACAGATAGATATGAACAAAAGCCCTCAAAGTATTAATTCAAATTATTCTGCTGAGGAAAGAAAAATGTGATTTTAATTGTTGCTAAAAGGGGCACTGGTCTTTGATGAATCCATGAATAGTAGTTAAAAAAAGATTGTCACTTAACAAATGTCCTTATATTTGTCTTATGACAGCTAACCCCATCTATGCAAGCATCAAACTGCTTAAAAGCTTGCCTACATGTAAGTGAACGCGGTCGTTTAGAGACAGACACAGTCACACAAAAAGGACGTCCTCTGCCGGTAAGTACATGTCAGGAGTAAGTTCAATATTGTTTGGTAATATGTTCATAGGTCAAGTGTGGGGGTGTGAGTGTCGGAGGGGGGGGGGGGGGGGTGGGGTGGTGGAGGAGGAGGGGGTATCTTAAATGTAAACACAACTACAATTTTGTTTTTACAGTGAATAAGTGCATCATCACTGCATCTTTTTGAAATTCCTTTTTGAAACACAATCGCAACTACTTTAAAAACATTTAACATATGGTAAGGCAATTTCTATAGTCCTATCTATCACTTTTTGAAATGTGCAAACCTAACAATTACATATTCGGAAATCTGAATGTATACAATCAATATTGCCCCCTAGATGATTTTTCTAAAATAATATTGATTGTGTTCTACAAGCTATATATCATCATAACTATCCCCATTATTTCAATTTTCCCATTTTCCTTAGGTTGTCCACAACTATGGCTACGACCAAAACCACTTGGCAACTTTACATTGGGGATGTGCCCAGGAGGCAGCTCGACTTGTAAGTGACATCTTGGCTGGACGATTCATCGGAACAACCTCAAAACTCTGACAGAAACACAAGTCATTCACTATGTAGGATCTAGAATGTAGCATACAGTGTGGGTCAATAAAAGGGAACCAATATTCAGGCCCTGATATCTTACAAACCAAGTTGCTTTCATATTATAATGGTATGCCGTTTTCTTCTATTTAGTAGGGTGTTCCCCAAAGTGCAATCATGGATGCCTGAGCGCTATATAAGCACTGTAATTATTATTATTATTATTATTATTATAACCCAAATGTGTGAGGAATGTTATCCATAGTTACTGCCCTTATGAGTGGGTGCATTGAATTGGAATGAAGAGCATTGAAAGACAGCTTGGATTGACCATCTAATTCATTCCAAACTTGGGCAGGGGCAAATTTGACATGAATCTGGAAAAATGCTACTCTTTAGTTATCCATTGCCAGATTTGATTGATCAATGGGTCAAATTAAAACAGAAAATCTGGTAGACTACTATATATCTGTAACTAAATCTTTATGTGTTGATGCAAATATATCTAGGGTTGAATCTGAGCTTCCATTTTTGTATGACTCACACTGTATATTTGTTCACTACTCATTCTCATCATATCAGCAAACAATTTCATGAATGATCATTCAGTTTGTAATGTTTGTAAATGTGTACGACTAAAGCCTTTGCTTGTAGCTTCAAGCTTAGATTAATTGTTAAGAGTCACAAGGTCATCAGCTCTATGTAACAGTATATAAGTTAACTCCCTTGTGGCTCCAAAACAGACAATACAATCATTATTTGATCTTTCTTTGGAAATAAATTTCCATCTTGATAAAATTTAATGTCACTGAATGACAAAGATACATCACTTGTATATTAACTACAGGGTAAAATGATCTATTTAAGAGTTAGAGCTTCTGAGAACGGTGTTAACTCTGTGCTACAGAATGCCCTACCCTTGGACCGGAAGTTGAGCTCATCAATTATAACCTTTCAACAAAAATTGAAGACTTTGTTGATGAATATGGCGTACTGTTAATGTTAGGAATAGGATTATTATCCGAGTTAGAATATTTTGTTGGCTATTTCATGTAGTAGTATATTGAACTTATGTTGACCATTTGTCGCCTTTTCGTGTTGTAATATCTTAGTTTTGTTGAATTTTGATTAATGACCATATTCTTGTAATGTCTATGATTTGTAGATCTATGGGCCCAGGGTGCCTATATGTCGGCAGAGTTGTGCGCAATATAAGTGTAGAATTATTATTATTATTATTATTATTATTATAATTACAGCATAATGCCTTTCAGGGTCTCTGGAGATGAGAAATATAAGTATTTTTTAAAAGTTTAGAATTAGTAAAAATGTAATACCCATATGCATTATATCATTTTGATGAAATTTATTGAATATCGCAATGTTTGTATTTTAAACTGCTGCATTTACCTGTATTACTTTCTTTCTTCCGAGCTCTTCTTATTCAGATAAAAAGAGTGTTTCTTATGTTTGTATTTATTTAGATAAAAACATATATACATATTAGCATGTTTTTTATTATTCATTCACCTTGAATGTGACCTTCGTTAAATTCATATAACATATCGTTTTACTGGTGTTTGAAATAAATTGAACTGAAGATACTACATATATCACTTTGCATTCATTATTTACTTAAACATGGCTTTAAAGCCACCCTGTACTAATTGTAGCTACTTGCTCCCTCTATATAGAAAACTTCCCCAATCGGTGCCTATTGGTCTCTCATGGTCCTCTTTTTCTTATGTTAATTCAGAGCTGAGTTAATGAGATGGGTGGTCTAATCCCTTCTGACTGAACTAAGATTTTAAGATAATCTTGTATTTGTCACACATTATATTCTTTCACTTTCTCTTCATATTTATCTCTCATCAGACCCCTCTGTTGAACATATCATGTATAAGCTATAAGTGACACATATTCTATTAAGATTGATACAAGATGCTGGGCTTTAAGTGTACCAATTACCAGAAAAGATTTTGTTCTGTATGTTAGGGGTTCAGACTATTACTTCTCTGAAGAGATATTGCTAGTTCAAATACTGATCATCATGATGCATCTGTGTATATTTAATGCACTCCTGGATTTATACAACATAAAGTTATTTTGTTCCTCATATCTGATTTTTCTAAGTGTTATTGGAGGAGGTGGACCATGTCTGTATAGGTTAATTCATGTCTATATTTGATTTGTTATCAATTCATATGATATATTCATGTGACTTTTGTTTTACAAGCTTTGTGCTTTTTTTAAAGGTATCCTTACATCTATTATTTGCCAATTTATGTATTTATGACTGTTATGTGGTTTTACATCGTCAAAAAAGAAAAATATATACGGGTAGGTAAATTGAAATTGAAATACACTCTCAATAAACACAAACGCAGCTTGTGAGGAGACTAGTTGATGCATTGATACATGCTTGTAGTGGAATAGGGCACACACAACCCAAGACCGACTTGGGTTCTGTAACAACAGGTTTTATGTAATCCTTAATTTTCTTCATCCTTCTTAACCGTTAACCCATAGAATGCCAGGTAATAGATTTTTAAAGATTGATTTTATACATTCATTTTTGGTGATTGGTAGACTTTAAGCTTTTATTCAAAATGAGGTTTAACAAAGGAAGTTAATCTGAGATCAGTTTCCTTTTATAAACATCATCTTTGACCTAGAGTCAACTAAATTGATAGAATACAGATCAATTCATTATCCACATTATCTTTTCCATTCCTCACATATCACTTCTAATAGACAAATCTAGACAAGTCAAAATATAGTTTTGATTATACAAAATTTATTTGAGAATCATATAGTAATATCCATTTTGAGCAAATACTCTTTGAAATTAACAACCATCATGGCTTGTTGATGTACATCTATGATTCAACTTGCTCTGAATAAAAAGGTGTTTGCAATAACCAGAGATAACTCTATAAATCAATAAATGCTGGCTTGGACATTTTGGAAATTGTTATGTTTAATTGGATGTCTTTTTTTAATTCTTCTAAAATATCACATGCACACTAAAGTTCTTTAAAAGCCCACTGTACTACTTGTAGCCACTTGCTCCCTCTATATAGAAAACAATGCCTAATCGGTGACCATTGGTCACCCATGATCCCCTTTTTCTTATGTTAACTGAGAGCCGAGTTGATGAGATAGCCACCTGTCAGTGACCTCGCTGTGTGGTCTAATCGCTCCTGGCCAAACTAGGACAGATGGGCTTTAAGATATGAAGTGGTAAACCGTGGTAGGTTTTGAGAAGAAGAAAAACAAATGCTGTAGTTTATCTGAACAACGCTATTGATTTAAGCAGAAGGTTGTCAGCACTGAAATGCTCTATACAAAACTACTCATTTTAGGTAGTTGTCATCCATTTTCACCTTTTTATTAATTGATAAATAGATAACTCCCTGTCATGTTTCATAATTGGCATAACGTGTATAGAGCAATCAATCCTGTAGAAGCGAGTTAACCAGAAATTTGCTGTATGGCATGTTTGCATGCCAAGGCCCTGCTGCCGGACACATGACATTGTATTTTATGTTCATTGGTAGCTCAAAATCAATTACAAAGATAAATCAGATTATATTCATTCATGTTAACGCTATAAACATAGCATATTGGTTGACCCAAAATAAGGAAGCTGGGGTAATGATATGATTGCAGGGCCCTCAGGGAGAACAGTATGAATACTGATGAGGCTACCCAGGGTAAACAAGAAATATTATTAAAATATTTGAGAATATAGGCCTACTTTAGGTTAAGAGGAAAACAGATTGCTTCATTTCTTGATCGTTTTGCCTCTCTGTTTGAGTGACTTCTCCCATGCTGTTCTATGCAGGGTGTATAGTCTCATAGCCGTCTGTGCGTCCTCCACAGAGTTATGTTCACCCTCCTGGACTGTCACTCCAAGAACCGTCTTCGCTAGCTTCTTCAGGGAGGGGCGCTTGGTCTGAATGGGAAGTCAAATATAAAGAGGTATTTTTGAATGAGTAAGAGAGAGAGAGAGAGAGAGAGAGGGGGATAGAGGGAGAGACAGAGAGAGAGAGGGAGAAAAGACGGGCATGTGGGCAAAAAAGAGAAGATTTTGGGGGAATGTCCTTACAGAAATGACCTTTAAAATTTATCTTTAGTGACTCTTTTTAACAAAACCACTGACTTGTTATCTTTAGTATTAATTAATACTAACAATAATAAGGATGCTTTTTAAAAACACTTTTGTGCCACCAAGTTGGTGATTGTAATAAAAGTATTTTATAGAGTTACAATTTGACTAATAATGCTCTGTTTCATTCTTGACTAGGGAGTAAATATTTCTCGCATTAATAATCATCCAAAAAATAAAATGTTTCACCAAGCAATTCCAAGATGATGAAATCGTTGAGGGAGGCCATTTTTTAATCCTATGTCAATGACGTCTTAACCGCAACAATTTACACATAATCAAGAGGGGGAAAATTTGGGATTATTCATCAGTGAAGTTATTGTTATGATTGAGGTGTGACCAGTCTTTGACCCCCTGAGCCTGACAACATCATGACTCACCTTCATCAGCTCCCTAAAGTGCGGGTAGGAGGCTGTGTCCCTGATCAGCTTTCTGGGTTGACCCAAAAATAACACCTGGGATGGGAAAGAAACAAAATAAAACTTTGGTAAAAACAGTGAGGCAAGCACCATTTATCAAGAGTATGGTGATATAATGCTATATACTGCTTCGTGAGTGCATGCATGGTCTGGAGAGCCTTTCAGTCTTTCTCCAGCAACTGGTAAATGTAAACAGCTGACCTGACATTTGGATGACAATTGCTCTAGGCAATATGTTGTCAATGATACAGAGGGCATGTTCATTTCAGTACGATTGATTTAATTTCTGTTCATGTTAATCATTTCAAAACCTCACAGTATACATTAGTTCATATGAACTCCATAACCGACCTTTCCAAATTTCTTTGGAATGAGAAGAGCTAGCTAAAATCACCTTCATGTCATTCTTGAGAGCATGTCCAACCAGTATCCTATCCTTCATGATGTCTGCTATCTCCTTCTGAACAGTCAAGAATTCCTCAGCTGGTAATAGAAAGATAGAAATGAAAGTAAAGATTCACTGGAGTACCAGTCTTCAGGAGGTAATCTATACAAGGGGAGGGAGAAGGGGGCAGGGAACCAAATCGGGAGCTCTGTTTCTCAATATAGAGTTGCAACTGATTGAAATTGATAGAGATTTGAATTGAATTTATTTTTTTTATTTATTCACGGTAAACATACAATCAATCACAAACTTATGAACTATTTGTTTTAGTATAGAGTTGTGATTGATATCAAGTTGCAATTGACTTAAATTAATCATGTACAATGGGGCCCAGACATCCAACCATAGGTACACCCTATCATAATGGCCATGATACTTGCATCATAATTTTATCAATTTATATCATTGTAACTCTGCCAATAAACCTCTACCTGATCTGAGTAAGATGTGAGTCTATTTATCGTCTAAAGATTCCACTTATTATTGTGTCCATAATCTACAGTGTGTTATGTATTTGACATTAGGCCATGCCCCATAACGCAACAGTTCCTGCAATTTTTTAGTGGTAACTTTGTTGACAATATCAGAATGTAGGTGGATGCTAGTTTATCATGCAACTAATGCAGTCACTAATCTGTGTATTAGAGGATTGCAGTACAATTCAGTTTATGCACAATGATTGCAGAAAACAAACATGGTTTGGAATTCGGTGTTTTGCACCGCTGTAGAATACCTTGTGCATTGCAATTGCAAACACATACTCAAAACCATGCATCATTTGTGTACAAGTAAATAAGCTCACCATTCCCCTTGAATAAGTCCTTTGGACGGACACCACTGAACTCGGTCCTGAAGTCTGTGACCTTCTCGCGAGGCTTGACAAACTTGTCGTAGATGCAATGACCATATTCATTGACCATTGAGACTCTAGCCAGGATACTCTCCTTTCCCTCATGACCAATACCCACCATTTCACAGTCAAGAGCAACACACTTTGTGATCCTAAACAAAACACATGTGAGAGAGTTTGTAAATCAGATGTTACTCCATCAATTATAGAATATAAATTCAACATAGGTTTTATACTTCTATAACACAAGCTCAGGCAACAGTCACTCCATGGGCTACACTAATTGCATTCCTATCTTTAACCATGGACTAAACACTGCATCTTACCTTTAAATAACATTACACTAATCACAACCCTATGGCCCGAATTCACAAAGGAGGTTTCGATGCGTTTCAGACCAAGGTTCAGACAAACCTTGGTCTGAAACGCATCATATGACGCATATAAACTTAGGTTTGTCTACAAACCTCCTTTGTGAATTTGGGCTTATATCTTTAAAGAAATGAAGCCTGTCACATAAATATTTCAATATTCACTATTTCTAAGCTCTTTGTATCATGTTTTCTTCCAATCAAAATGACTCACAATGAAAACAAGACTACCAGTTCAATTTCCATTGCCTTCTTTGCTTCGTTCTCAGCATTTATTTGAACACTTTTTTTATTCTAACTTTCTACTGCACAGGGTCTATCTCTAGCTTGCAGCTCTGAATTTTCGAATTTTTGAATGTTGACGACTCATTTGTCTTTTTAACCACGGGCAGTCACTGTTCTTGATATCATGTACTACCTCTACCTCATCTCTTCCCTCCCAGAGCTCCTCGTTTTCTGTCACCTTCTCTTTTCTCCCTCCTTCTCTCTCTCTCCCTCACATTTCCTTTCTGTTCTACTCCATTCGACTCCTCTCTCTCTCTCTCTCTCTCTCTCTCTCTCATTCTTTTCTCTCTCTCCTCATACCCCTTTTCTGGGAGAGAAGGGGTGAATGTTTCAGAGCACTTTTAAATTCATTTATTCAATGCATTCTGTGCATTATCAAGATTCATTTTTAAATGCCAGTTTTCAAGTTTACATGTCAGCTTTGTTAATGCTATTATTGCTATTATTATTGTTATTATTATTATTGTTGTATTTTCTTTGTATCCTCGAATGTATTTATATATTGTTTATGTTGTTTGTATATGTACGTCACTCGCCAGTGGAGGATGAATTTCTGTATTTTTTAAAATCAGACAATAAATTATCTTGAATCTTGAATCTTGAATCTTGAATTTATGAATCTTCTACAAATTTTTTTTCAGCAGATATCATACATTTATGATATTGACCATCAAGATGTCAGTTTTCTTTGATCAAGGTGAGAGTTTATTTTCTGTCATTACCAGAACTTGATATCACCTTTAAAAAAATCAATAAATGCCAATGCTGCAATGTAATGCACTCACTTATTATCTCCTTGATAAGCTCCAGCTCCTGCAATATCACTAGCATTGTGTTCAGATGAACCCTTCTCTGCCTCCAGGAGTGCTGGATCCACATCATCAAACCAAATCTCATTCTCCTTCTTCTCGCTGCAAGAAATGAAAATGGTGCCAAAATTGCAACACTTAGTGTGAGAGTAACTACCTTAGAAATAATCAGTAATTGTTAGTTTATATGCACTAGATAGATTGTTTGAACCAGCAAAATATAATCTTAATTTATATTACATAATATCACATTCACTGAAAGTAGAACTCTTCTTTCATTAAAATTATCTCATATATTCTCATGGAGAGATGAGGAAAATAAGAATATTTTAGAAGTGGCTGGGGTGAAAATATAATTTGATTTTTTTTCTTTCTGTATAACTATTTTGGTGTGTTTTAAATGACTTGTATAGCACGAAATAATATCAAACACGTTACAGTATTACAACATTTCTTACTACGTGTATGCCACATTGGGTGTGTTGTAACTGGAAGTTTAGTTTTGACTTTTGAGTATATCATTCCCATTCAAATGATGTTTTGATCATGTTTCATGGAACTATTGCAGGGACATAATTTGCCCTCTGTTGATCATACTTACACAGCTTTGTCACGGGCATTGCTGTTCTTTGTCTTCGGTTTGGGATTCCTTGGTGCCGAGGCCTTCAATGTCTAAATAGAATCACAGAACAAGATGATATTGATGAATCATGATGATTAAACAAATTAGTAAACTAGACTGGAGAAAATGTCTTGGAAGCTCTAACCAGGTTTGGAAAACTTTCTTTTCTCACTCCTGAGTAGATTTGTCATTCTGTTCTACTTACAAAACTATTACCAAATCACTAACATGTACATTCAGTAATAGTCAATACAATATACATACATATTATTATTAGTAGTAGTAACTGGTAGTAACAAATAGCAATTTTATTTCTAAACATTAAATGGGGGGGGGGGGGGGGCAAACCTAACTCAACATAGACAGTCCAGTGTATAAGAGCAATTCAAAACTTGTAATCATCTCAAAAAAGAAACTGCACATATATGAGAAGGTGCAAAAGGGACTATTTTTAATTTCTTATACGGATGGAAAAGAAATACAATACTCCCAAGAACAAAGGAGCATGACAGAAAAACATAACAGATATTGATGAGAACCTCCTTTTCCCTCCATATTTAGATACCACTGTCTTGTCATTGCATTTTATACTACTTTAACTACACCCTACTAGTTGATAAGTGGGCAAGACCAAGCTATTTTGTCCACAAAAACATTACTGACCACATATTATATTTCAGTATCTGATCATTGTATTAGATTAATAGCCTTACTGGAGCTATGATCAGACCATACAGAAGTAAAATTAATGTATTATCAGACCTCCAAAATACTTATTAACATATGTTACATCAAATGAGTTAATACCTTGGACTTGCCAAGTACTCACCGTTGCTAATGCTTTCCAGTTGGAAGCTACATCCTGTGGTTCTTCAGGTAATTGGGGCATTTCATCATTGCCAGAGGACATACCAGAATCCACAGTATCAATCATCGCCTGCTTCTTCTTCTTCTTCTTCTTGGTCTCTGTGGTGTCCAACTCACCCTTCCTTATCCTTTTTCTTGACACAGCTTTTGATGTAATATTTGATTTGTCTTCTTTTGATGTCTCTCTATCCAATTCTTTATCACTGATAGCACCTGAGGTTTTGTTGCTCTTCGTTTGCTCTGATGTCCTCTTTGACTTTTTAGTTGTGCTAACAGTATCTAGTTTATCTTGTTCATTTGAGGATATTTCTGTGCTCCCTGTCATTGTCTTTTTCATTTCTTTACGTTTAAGAATTTTAAGTTTCCTCTTCATTTTCTTTCTCAGCTGTTTTGCTTTTGAAGTGTTGGATGCCCCTGTGGCTGCATGATCCTGGCCTGCACAGTCATCCGTCCTCTCACTAGCTGTCTTAGTAGCCACTTCTTTGTTGAAGGTAAAAGTGGAACTACTTTCATTACTGACTTTTTGTCTGTCTTTTTCTGCTTTAATAATAGAGCTCCCTAGAGGCTTTCGTGGCTTTCGTTTTCTCTTCCGTTTCTTCAAGTGAGCTTTTCTAGGATGGTCACCAGGTTGGTGTGGCAAAGCAGTCCCATCTGTTCCTGATGGCTTGGTAGATGCAGAAGGATCCTGGATAGACTTCTTGCCATGTTTGGAGAAATACATCCAATGTTTCCCCTTTTTATTTTTCACTTGAGACTTGACTGAATCCATTGTAGTCAAACTTCACCAGGCCAGGAGTGATATTGTAAGAAGTGCCTTTCTTCAATAATCTGAAAGAAAGCCAGAAGATAAACGTGCATAAAAATTATGCAAAAGAAAAATATTAACCACCTACCTAGAAATGTCTAATTCAATGATGCGCTTAATGTCTTCAATAATGTAGTCTCCTGTCCTTTGCTTTGGTGGCTTTGGTGTCAGACCCATTCTGAAGACTAAAACTAAAAATTAAGTCCCAAGCAATTCACGTTTTGCCCAAAATGATACTAACTGTACAACAATACTGTACTGTACAACTCTGTACATGTACAGAGTTTATTTAGTACGTACTTTCTCTTTGCCGTTTGAATCGAAGAAACAACATGGAAGAATCGTCGGGATAGGACGAAGAATCACCCCCTTTTTCCCCATCGAAGACTTCTTCAAATTCAAGTTGCCGGCTAGATACCATGCCCAGAGGAGTCGAGCAACCTAGTAAGTCAAAATTGTAATTACTCCCTTTGCATATTTTGAGATAATGTCACCCAACCCGCTGTTAGAATGTTTTTTGATGCACGAACCCGAAGCTCCGACGCCTTTGGCATCGGCGTCGGAGCTTCCCGGAGTTAAACAATAACATGACGTAAAAACAGGCACATCGGACTAAACTAAGTAAACAGAGTAGATTATGGTAGTTTTTGTATGGTCTAATTTTCGTGTTACGAAATAGCGGCTTAACTTTAGAAATAGCTTGCCGGTTTTAACTATTAAAACTTTCAAATACCTGTTTTATAGACGGTAACACATTACTTGGTGTTCGAGATTTTCTTGCTAAAGTAAGGGGTCCGCCGACTTCAGTGCAAACGTGATACCTGCGGGCACATGTGTCAGCTATAGCCAATTACGACTATAGGGCGCCAAGTGTTACCCTAGTTTTTAGTTATAAAATCACCTCATTTTGTTACATATTTGTACCGAATTAATTTTGCACAATGCATTGAATGAAATCGGTACAAATCATTTTGTAACAATTTTTTTTTGGATAAAATAAAATGTTACAAAATAAATGTTTTTAGTTCATTTCTGTAACAAAATAAATTCGGTACAAAATTTTTTGTAACTAAATGAGGTGATTTTATAACGAAAAACTAGGGTAACACTTGATGCCCCCATACGCGACTGCATGCACACTAGTTTGCTAATTTATCAGAAACCATCTGAGACCTTCATTGAAAAAACACCATATGGAAACGTTTGCTTGTATTTGTCTCATAAAAGAATATAAGCACAAACTGACTCCCACACAGTGTTGAGTGCTCAGGGGTCACAGGCCAATGGCTTCATCGGGCAGGTAGTTCCATTATGTGAATGGGTAAATTAACTATTACAAAATGAGGGGACACATTACATTGTACAATAGGGACACACATTGTTTTTATTGTGCAGAACATACTCTTTTATTGACTTACTTATTGCATGATGAAACTATATAACCAAAATGCATTTTGTATTCTAACAATTGGAGTACAAAGAATAATAACAGGTGAATGAAATGCATAAACACCACAAACACCTGGGGAGGAAGCATTCATAAATTTGGATACATATATATCATAAACGACTCCGATGAAACTATAAAACCAAAATGAAATTTGCGTTCTGGCAATTGGAGTACAAAGAATGATAGCAGGTGAATGAAATGCTTCAACAGCAACACAAACACCTGGGAAGCTAGGAAGCATCCATAAATTTGAATAATTTAGTTGATAAACGACTCCGCATGTGGACGTTTGTTGGAGCAGAAAGCAGTGGATTCTTAACAACACGAACCCATTTAAGATAATGTCGGAACGTAAATTAAATTTGGCGCGGTTGGAAAATGCATCTTTCTACCCTGCAACTTTAATGGTACGATCCAGTAAATTAAAACAATAAAATGGCTCTTATTTTAAAATTACTCATTAAATGAAACCCAAAACTTCAGTGATATCAGAAAAAATATGTTATATCTTACTAATAATTAAAAAAAGATGTATAAACATTGTGAAAGTGTCGCATTTTACGATAAAAGACACCGATTTAGCAAAGATCACGTCATTAGTGCGCTTGCATCAGGGAATTCAAGGTCAAAAGGTCAATTCAGACGCTGATGAGTTGTTGGTCGAGTATTTTTGTTTCCTTTATTCCGACAAAATTATACAATCAATCAAAATAAGTTTGATACCAGAAGAAAGCTAACGATTAGTATTTTCATTAACCGCTTGCCCCAAAGTCTCTTGACCACAGTAAAACGAGTGAGAGCTTGCGAGAGCGGCCAAAGTGTGATTGAAACTCGCTATTTGCTCTTCTCCAACGCAAAAAGAGACGGCATTGTGCTGGATAAACGTATTTTTTCCGACAAAAGTACAGAAAATTTGCATATAGTCTTTTTATATTATACTTTATGAAATGTTACCCGAGTGACTTCCGGGCGCCCCAATGCTGGAAAGAAACGCACATTTTAGAAAACTTCACTTATTCATAGAAAAATGCTTATTTGTTCTATGCACGCAAGTCAGATTGAGCGGATGATACAACGTTTCCATATGGGCCATGATAAACAAAATTCGCCTAGCTATGCAATTAAGTCGCTATTTTAATAAAATTGTTATAATTAACCCCTATGCGCCCCGCCGAACGCGATCGAGGCAGATAAGGAAGTTTTACATCAGGTATAGCACGCCCCCCAGCCACAGAACTAGCCAACTTATTTAAGAGTTCTGTGCCCCCAGCACACCCCCCCCCCCCCCGCCCCCACCCCCCTCCAGTAGCTGCGCACCCATCTAGCCTAGCATCAAACGACGTCAAACTGTAGTGGCGTGGCTGCATAATAGACAACACGTGGAGAGGAGAAAAGAAGAAGAGTGGAAACACCCCCCCCCCCCGCGAAATTCCCCGGTGGGAATGGTTATGGTTACATGCATCATGCATTCACTGTTGCGTGGAGAAACAAGGATACCCCGCCCCCGCCCCCGCCCCCGCCCCCGCCCCCGCCCCCGCCCCCGCCCCCGCCCCCCAAAAAGGCCAGTTGCCCGACTCTGCATGTGGTGCCGAGAGATATTAAATTAACATTTTTGGAGCACGTCGAAATCGCGGCTTCTCCAAAGACTATTAGAAACTGATTATTAAAGTAGCTATAGGCAGGCAGTATTATCAAGCTGCACTCTAAAAACTGAAATGTTAAATCACCATTTAAAAGGGCCGAGGAGTGACCACTCTTTCAAAATGGTAGATACACTTTGAACATGATGGATCCAACACTATAAAGGTTGAATCTAGCAGGTTAAAAGAAACGATCTGACATTTTGAAGAGTGGTCACTCCTCGGCCCTTTTAAATTGACATTTAACATTTCAGTTTTTAGAGTGTGAGGAAATAGCGGGAAATAGCATAGCATAGCATTTTAAAGATAAAAAGTTTATTTCTTCCTCGATCGCTCAATTGCATTATTTATAAAAACAGGATGATTTCACAGGCAATGAACTTGGCCTAATATAGCTCCATATTTTGACAACGAGGCATCCAAATATCAGTCTATTTGACAGCGAGATGCCAAAATATATTTCGTGTCTTTAAAAGAAAGAAATAACCCTTTTACCGCTTGTTCGCTTTTCTCACTCGCGTCATTTAGAAACTGGATGATTCTGGGAAACGAGATGCCCAACAATCCTCATATTCATGTTTATTTGGCGGCTCGCATACATTATTCTATAACTTATTTGTTGATTATATTCAAAATAATTTGTATACATTAAAGATGACAGATGTCATTTTGGCGGCTCGCTTGCTGAAACGCTCGCTCACAAAAAAATATGAACAGACATAGACTAGGTGTGTACATCGCACTTGACGAGGCCTGCATTCGATGAAAAATGTAACTGTAAACATGCTGTGTAATGTCGATCTACTCGTGATAAATCTCTCTTAATTTTTTTTCTTCATCTAGATCTATAAAAAAAGAAAGTTTCGATGTTAGATTCTCCAGATTCTGCCCAAAGTAGAAAAAAAGCCTATAGGCCTAATTCCTCACCTTCACGGCCACCCTAACCCTAATTCTAACCCAACCCTAACCCTTAGAATTAAGTTAGATCTAGATCTAGACCTACCCCAAACCTAATCTGAACCCTAAATCCTTACCCTCATAATATTAAAATAATGCGTTAATTTTTATCCTCTTTTCATGCTTTTTTTCTACTTTGGGCAGAATCCGCGTAGAATCACCAAAGATTCATTTATTGTATTCTCGAGAAAACAGCTAGCACAGATTATTAATATATTTTTTCTTCCTGGTACTATGCCGTGAATGCAACTAGATCTAGATCTAGTCAATTTTGTCCATATTGTTTTTACAAGCACGACCTCTCTCGTCACTCGTACTTGTCGCCTAGATGGATGCTGCAATGCACTGATCGCATCAGCGGAACAACTGAATGGAATACATTGTTTATTCAAATTTGCATACGAGAGACATTTAAACGTCGCCGGATCGCCGTAACCACCCTCCTGTATTGAACCCACGCAGGCAGTAGACCAATCTTGTGGCTGTATCATTTGACGCCAAGCGCAGCCAGCTACAGTACGGTCAGGGACATAGGGAACTGTACGATCGCTTGCGTACTATCATTTTCGTGAAAAAACCGAATGGGATCAGAAGGGAAATCGAGATTTGGCCGCTGAACCTTTAGTTTCGGATCCTACTTTTGCATTCCTCATTTTGTGCCAATTGTGGAGTATTTTTTCCTGATATTTCAATACATCGAGCGAGATCAGACATTGTGATTGGTTGTAAAAACTAGAAAATGTGTTCAAACTCGTCATGCTAAGTCTGTCATGAAGTCTTGCTAAAACTAAAAGTCTTGACAGTGACTGACAGTGGCAAGCTGTTTTAATTTTTTACTGCAGTCCTAGTGTCAAAGAACACGATCAACATGGCATTGGACAAGAAATTAGTCGTGTTCCTCAGTACTTCTGTGATCTTGATGTGTGACCTTATTCTGTACACCAGTGCTCAGACTTTTACAGAACAGCCACAAAGTTTTATCGGACTTAAACCTGGTGATAATAGTCTGACAGATTTAGAATGTGCTTATACCACTCAAAATGCAAATGATGTCATTGGATGGGTTGTTAATGATGTCAGGATTTCAAATGGAAATGACAAGATCAGTGAAGCTATTACTTCAGTTCTAGGAAGTGAAGCAATTACTCAGTTGCAGCCATCGTTTTCTGGGAATGTATATGGCCTGGTCTTCTTCGCTGTTACTCCTGTTGTGGCAGGTGATTACAGATGTCAACTCTGTACGAATGATGGTAATAATGGATGTGGAACTGTTCTCATAGAATCTGATGTTTCACAAGTGCAGGTGGAATATGAGCCTACTGAAACGCCAACATGTCTTCCGACATCTAGCACAACGAGAGTTGTTTTGGGAGAGGCTGTGATGTTGTCTTGTGCTTCTGAACCCGGTCTTCCAGTGGTGGAGTTGGAGTGGCTGCGCAACTCGGCCGTGATATCTGGTCAGCCCGAACCAGTGGTGATGAATGGGGTTTTGTACAACAACTTCAGTTACACACCAGATGTCTCAGATATAGGTGTACAGCTAACATGCCGCATGCAGAGTGCATCTAACTCTCTTAACTGCCAATCACCCACTTTCAATATAGTTTCGACACCAAATGTTGTAGTTTTTCCACCGGATCCAAACCAAGTCCCAGAAGGATCGGAAGCTGTGTACACATGCCAGGCTACGAGTGAGACCAATACACCCATTGACACGTATGGATGGCTAGTTGAAGATATACCAGCTTCAAGGTATACAGTGAGTGATAATACGCTAACCATCGCATCAGTCAC